GCACCTATGTAAACTTCCAAGTCTAAGCAACCTTTTAAAATAATAAAGATGCACAACTTCTTGGCACATTAAAAAGTGCACTTACTGTAGCTTTATAGTAAATTGTCACCAGGGACAGTTTGGCTGTGGTGCTATATGACAGTAGTGAAATGAAAGATTGTCTTTTAGCCTCATGATCACTGGTCAAATGCACAGCCCTTCAAACAGGAAAAGATAGCACACAGTACTTTTAGGTCTACAGAGTTGACAAAAACTGGCACAGGCAACACCATCAATCATCCTGTCATTTGTTCAGACAAGAGCTCAATAAAAACATTAGGCACTAAGGGTACAAAACTGCCTAGATTTGATTTCTACCCAAAAGTGTTCCTCCAATGACAATGACTAAAACATAAATATTAACATACTGTGGCACTATGACAGCTTAAATGTCCATCTACTTTTTTTTATAATCCTCTGAATGCTAATATTAATTATGCTCTTGATACATTCCAAGTAATATAGCTTAAATCACAGACTTTATCTCCCTGCCATTTCACTCACTTGGCTCTTTATAACTTAAAAGATGAAATTTGAATCAGGAAATCAAATGCTTAATAAAAAAGAGAGGGCCGGCCAGACTGAGCAAAAGGACCTTGTACAGCTCCTTGACAAGAGCTCAGTGGTAGTACTTGCCCAGCATATGAAAGGCCCTGTGTTCAATTCCCAGCATCACCTCCCCCAAACGAGTACTGTTCATAGGTGTGATGGTTAGTTTAATTGTCTACTTGACAGAATCTAGACTTGCTTGTGAGATGGACATCTGGACCTCCATATGGGGGGTTATCTTGGTTGCATTGATTGAAAACAGTTATATTAGTGAAGCTAGTATTCACTTTTTCATAGCTGTTGCCAAACACCTTACAAAAATGACTTAAGAGGGACATTTATATGGGCTTATGATTTCAGAGAATGTACATATAGTTTCATGGTCCCAAGCATTTGAACATAAAATGACTGTGAGAGTTTGTGATGAAGGACAGATCCTCACATTCCCATGTAGCAGGAAGAAAAGAAAAAAATCAGGTGTATGGTGATGGTTGAGCAGTTAAGCGTACTTGTTGCTCTTAAGAGACTAGGGTTCAGGTCCCCCAGGCAAGTGTCAGCTCGTAACTGTCTGTCAATCCACTTCCAGGGGACCTGGCAACCTCTTCTGGCCTTTAAGAGTACCAGGCATGCACACGGTACGAACACTCATGGAAAATAATTTAATGAATTTGCAAAATCTTAAACATGCACATACACTCAAACATGCACACCATCTCTCAGGAGGTGGCCAGCGAGCGATAGTATACCTTCAAAGACCTGCCCCCCAGAAGCTTGCTTCCTTCAGTTAGGCCCCCAAGTTTCCAGAGTGTCCCTAAATAATTCCACGAGCTAGAAGCTGTGTTCACACCCTGAGCTGTGGGAGAGGGGTGTGGTTATAACGAATTCCATAGTGTTCTTAGAAACTGCTGGCTGGATGGTCTTCATTTGTAAGACAGTCTTAGACTTCTAGGGCAGGTTCTGTTTCTGGCTCTCTTCATGATCCTACTGCTGTTTCCCATTTATGGTAATAATCTCACATTACTGAAATTATCTTCCAGTCTTCCGGCTTCTTTGCTTGGCTCTCTAGTTTATGAGAGCTGAGATTCCTAGGTGTTTATTTACTTCTTTACAATAAATCCATGCTATTTAGAATACAATAGAAACAATCACAAAATGTGGACTTGTTTTCTTATTTTACATGTGTGTTTGGGCTGCAGGTATGTGTATGCTTTCTTAGGAAATAAACTCTTACTATTCACAGTTGACAATGCTTGTATAATTTTATATGCTCAGAAAGAACTTGTGTTAATATGACCTCATTACTTGCTGTGGATCTCCTTGACATTCCTAATGGCCTCCTCAGTGCTGGTTGGGGACAGAGTCTGAGCTTCCTTCTTAATCTTTGCTGAGTCAGGTGTAACTTTGATTTCCATTTATTTGCCATGATAGTCTGAGAAACTTTAAAAAGACTGAAGTTCTCGGGTAGCAAGGGAAACTAACATGCGGAATAAATTCTTTTTACTCATGTAAAAGCCAGAGTCCTTGCTGAAGCACACAGGCCTGATGGAATCTGAGTTCTGATGAGTGAGCTCTTGTCCTTTCCTTCTGTCCTTTTCTCAGTGTAATTTTACACTGTAGTCTTCCCAGTGGTTCCTTACTGACTGCTCTTACACCGCCAGCCAGCTGTGGTCTCCTGCCAGGATGAGTAACTAAGCTTTGCAAGGCCTTCCTTTTGTCTTTCCATCTGAATGAGACCTGCCTTGAACACGCTATGTGAAACTGCTGTTTCCAATCTCGGTTCCCGTTATCTTTGTGTATTTAATTCTTTTTTTTCCCCAAAATACTTAACAGTGTTCTATCATACTACATCATTTATACCTATTCAGTTCTTTTTCTTATTTTCTTTCTTGCCATAAAATGTAAACATAAAAAGGAAGACTTTAATTCAGTGTGTTTGTGTTTTGTTATGGTGATAACTGATAAGTAGGTTTATATTAAATACCTCAACACTGATAACTAATGTATAGAATCATGTCCCTGATCATTTGATAATTGACTCATTTGACTTTGGGAGACTGGATTTTTCTTCCTTAGCCCTGACCTTTGACCTGTTTCTGGAATGTCTGACACATTTACCTCTGTCCTTTATTTTATTTTATGGTTTCTGAATACATTTAGAATTTGAGAGAGGGAGCCGGGCGTTGGTGGCACACGCCTTTAATCCCAGCACTCTGGAGGCAGAGGCAGGTGGATCTCTGTGAATTTGAGGCCAGCCTGGTCTACAGAGCCAGTTCCAGGACAGCCTCCAATAGAAAGAAACAGTCTCAAACCAAAAAAAAAAAAAAAAAAAAAAAAAAAGAATTTGAGAGAGGGGGAAGAAATAAAAGAGAGCCATGCCTAGAGTTTAAAGAACACCCTTGACTGCCATCTTAATTCTGTTTTGAAACATTCTTTAGGATCATTGCCAGTGAGAAATGAATATTACTAATACAAGTGATGCCTGGGTTTCTCTTGGTCTCCTTGGAGTGCCTGAGCCGGTGGCTGTATGAAATGAATGTGAGCTGGGTTGATGGATTCAAAGGCTTATAGCTCCAAGTCCTAAGAATTAGGGGTTAGGACTCCAGAAGCTAGATACTAACAGGCCTGCTTGCTGAGACTGAGGGTATTGCTCTGAGCAGGTACCTTAGCAGCAATTGCACTTAGGGCAATCCTTAGTTCTGACCAGCAGGTGTCAGTAGTAGCTATCAATGCCTGCTACTTAGAGCTCCCAAACTGTGTACCAGGACTCACACCCCTTCCTACCTGGTGACTCTACTGGGACTCCCAGTGTTGAAAACTTTGGTCTGTACAATAATTGGTGTTATAGCTTTTGAGTATTGGTAACTTCAACTCTTAGTAGTCCTTGGCAGATGCTTGAAAGTCTTCTAGAAATGAGGGCCCACAGCCCCCATCTTTGTCTCCATGTCCTCTTTGTCTCCACCTCCCTCTGCCTGTACTACTGCTGTTGCTGCCACTGCTGCAGAGGTGGAGCTTCTGACCTCCCTGCTGGTTACTTTGTATATTATAAGTAGCTTGCTGGACTTTTGATAGAAGAAGACACCATTTGACAGAAGTTTCTGATTGGGCTCTCCAAACAGAAAGCCACATAGTCTGATTATATATGGAGGAGCAAGATGCCACATGAGTGCAGGGTACAATTGAAGGGCTGTATTTATGCCAATCACAGCACAAGCTATCACAGACCGTGTAGAAGGAACTGTCACACGTGCCACCTGGCACCAACCACTGGCTTCTTGCAGAGCTACTGAGGAGCTGCCACCTCCACCCCATGTTTTTGGGAAGAATAGCTTCAGGGTCATCTAAAGTACACTGAGGCATTCTAGCCTGGAATGTCTTCTAAGGCCACTGCAGGTAGTTTGAAGCATGTATATATGTTATATATTCTTATATGCATACATAAAGAGATAAAACTCAAAACTAACATTGCCAGCAGCATTTGTGTTTCGTGGCATTTAACAATGCTTAGTAGTCTCGGTTTCTTTGCCCTCCAGAGTTCTGTCTTCTCATCTGTCTCACTTAGGTTCTGTTGTCTTTGCATGGCAGCCAGGCTATGCTGTAGTTCTCTCTGTGTCCCCCAAACAGTTCCATTCCTAGATCCACAATGATGATCGGCTTTTCCACCCTTTACATTGTGCAGAGATCACCCTGGCCAGGGATGAGCGTTACTAGGGTACTGAATCGCAGGTTAGTAGGACCAGTATATACCTTCCCTCGGTTTATGAAGGTATAGAGGTTACTTTTAGGTACTGGTTGTGACTTGCTAACTGATTCATTGTGTGACCTTTGACAAATTATTTAAATTCATGTATTTCTTCATCTGTAAACCTCAGCTGGACTTTTCTTATTAGTTTTACTCAATGGAGTAAAAATATTTTATGCTTTATAACAATAGAAAGCTTCTTTCTAAATGTGTTACTCGTTCAGCTAGCAATCATATTATTATGTGGTAGTTGATATTTTTATTTGGTATGTTGCTGCATATCTAAATGCAGAGATGAGCCTAACACCTAGCAAGAATTCTGTATGTGCTCTGTAAGATAGATAAATCTCTTGTAATTTCCTGGTTCAACTAACTAGATGGTTGAGTTCTAAATAAAACAATGGTCATCAGCTCAGGGTTAGGTGTTATCTGTTTAGCTCCCTTTTCATCTTATCGGTTAGGTTTTTATTCTATAATGTTTGCTTTGAATACAATAGGATGATAATATCACGGTATATTCTTAAATTCTGCTTTTCAGCCACTGTTTTATCCATTAGCATAGTACCAAGCATCTAGAAGATTGTCTGGTATATGATAGATGTTGCTTGAATGGATAAATTTGCTTGTGTCCTCTCCCACATGCTGAGTAATGTTAAATTTTTATTATTTTAAGAAAAGTGACCCTTGTGATGGTGGGCCTTGATAACGCTGGTAAAACAGCCACAGCAAAGGGAATCCAAGGAGGTAAGTAGAAAATATTTGGTTTTTGAACTATTAATTTTTTTAGAGATTTATTTATTTTGTTTTTATACATAGGAATGTGCTATCTGTATGTATAGTGGCATCAGACTATATGACTGGGAGCCACCATGTGGTTGCTGGGAACTGAACTCAGGATCTCTGGAAGAACAGCCAGTGTTCTTAACTGCTGAGCCATTTCTCCAGCCCCTGTTAATTTTTCAGTGTCATTTGTTTATGTTGTTTCATTACCTGTTAATTGGACAGAGATAGTGTGCTACTTTGTGTTAATATACTTATGCTATGACTAGGCGTTGGCTTCCTGATGTCCCTCTACTGCCATGTTTCAGATTTGAATATGTGTAGTCTCTTTGACATCTTGACATCATTGATCAGCTGGGGAGACAGGGAGTAACCCAAGCTAGCCTAGAACTAGCAATACTCTGCCTTAGCCTCTCAGTTGCTAGGATTACACAATTACTCACCTTTGTCATGTAGTCTCCTGTTTTGTAAACTTTGTTCCCAATTGTGACCATCCTGAAGAATATTAATAGACTCAATTAAATTCTCTTTAGTCTGTTTATCTCCTCCAGGCTGTTAATCCTGAGAGCAGTTTTACTCATTTTGGTGTCCCAGTGGTTTAAACCATGCTTCTTGAGAATAGTAGACAGCCTTCTTCCTCTTCCTCTTCCTCTTCCTTTTTCTCCTCCTCCTCCTCCTCCTCCTCCTCCTCCTCCTCCTCCTCCTCCTCCTCCGCCGCCGCCTCCTCCTCCTCCTGTTTGTTCATGTCAGGGTTTCTCTGTGTAACATTCCTCACAAGTCCCACCCTGCTAAGCCTTCTTAAACCATCCTTTCTATGGCATCTCCCTGTCTACTTATTTCCAGTCCTGCTCTTACTCCTGGCTCATCCCCTTTGCTAGGTTTTTGTTTGTTTGTTTTGAGATATATGTACCTTCTCTTTAACTATATTGCTGTTGCTCAAATCCACACGCCAGTGTCTTTCATCTGTCATGTCACAATAGCTTCTTCTAAAAGTATCTTCCCTGTCGTGAACATTGCTTTTTTTCACTGCACTGCTCATCTCCCTGACCATCAGAATGATTGCGTTAATTGGGCATAGGTCTAACAGGGATCAGAAGTCACAGGGTTTCATTAAGATTGAAGTTTATTTTCTTCTGGTCTTGCAAAAGTAGTCCAGTACTAGGATGTCCTCCCGATGTTAGGGATTACCCCTTTTTCCTATTCACTGTGTCATCCCTACTGTTCCCTTTCTCCTATATAGCCTAAGTTAGCTCTCTGCAGCATGCATTTGAGCTGCAAGGAGGGGGTAAGAGAGAAGAGGAGGGCGTGCTTCTCTGCTGTAGGATCATGAACCAGAAACAGATGTGTCACTGTGGTTCATGTGCCACTGACAAGAAGCAGTGATCTTCTGGACCCCTCTACTGCATCTGTATATTGAGTTAAACTTCCTAGCAAGAGCCAGTGCTGTCTGTTTCTCCCCAAATCTCTTCTTGGGTATCTTACAGTAGCTAGAATTAGTTTGCAATCAGTCATAGTGGGAGTAGTTACACTATGAAAATAGGCATATGCTGCATGTTAGCCTTCTCCCTCTATTTCCAAATAAGTATTTAATAGACCAGCACTTATTAATCTAGACTCTCCTCTCAGTCGCCACCTCTGAGGTTGGGAATTAATGTCTTTTGTAAACATTCATGTTCCCACACTTAAACAAACATTTCTAGCTCCCCGTGTAGAGGAAAATGTAACAGTACACGGGATAAGGATATTGTTGGCTATTTATCGTGAGAAATGACTTACAAGAGAAACCAAAAACCCAGGTTAGTCTCTGTAGCCTTTCGAGACCCAACCGGAACCTGGAAAGAGAGCGAGTCCCCTCCTCTCAGCTCTTTATCCCACACACTTTCTGCATGCCTGTGACCTGTGACCACGCACGGATAGACGTGGTCAGTGCTACAGTACCTAAGAACTCTCCGTACATCCCTGTATAAGCTCCTGTGTGATCCTGTTTCTGAAAGTCAGGCTACTTTTATCAGGTCTAGCCTTACCCTTTTGTCTTTTTAGTGATGAAGGTTAGCAGCAGAAACATGACTTGTGATGGCTCTGCTAAGTGTCTCAGGCAGCGCAGAAGCTGTTCTTGGATGCTTCCTGAGGGGAATGTGGTCCCTTGCAAGCCTGTTTCTCAGCTATAATTAATCTTAGAACACTCCTTCCTTGCAGATTTGTCACACTGAATGTTTTGTTAAATGTAGGAACCAGTCACTATAAACAAGTGTCATTTAGTAGAAATTTCTGAATGATGGGAATAGTTTATGCTGAGTCCATCCAGAGAGCACTAACTACATTTTGATTCTGATAACTGGAGAGATAGCTGGTACAACTGAGGAATTGACTTTTAATCCATTTACTATCACATAAAAAATTCAAAGCCTTTGGTGGTGTCTTTTTACTCTAAACAGAGTCCCGAGGAGAAAGATTTATAGTATATTCTAATGATAAGGGGAGAATGGAAGAGGCTGACATAACACTAAAGCTTTTTCTTACCGGCTGAATCTGCAAGGTCTATTAATGTTTAATAAGCTTTCTCCTCTATCTTTTGTTTTAATTTTTTTAGCTGTCTGAGAAATGGCCTGTCATTCATTTTCAGCCAATAGAGTGCTATTCCAATCACTGAACTGTATAACAGATATCTCAGGGACCCTCAGCAGCTTCCTTATTTCAGGACCCTCCTTGTTCAGTGTGGCTTCCACCTGGCTTCCACCCGTATTCACTGAAGGATTTGCCAGTGCATGCTTGTCCTACAGACACTGGGGAAACTGAAGCAGGAGAAGCACAAGTTGGAGCCCAGCCTAGGCTGCAGATGCGACCTTGTCTCAAAAGCAAACCCAAACCAAATAAATCTGTTGAGAATTTGATCCAGTGAATTTTTACTCCCTTGCTACTTGCTTGATTTCTCACCCTTGCTCTCAGACTTAGCCTAACCCCGCGTGCGGCTTCTATGTCTCTCAGGAATCTTTTTAAACCTCTCATGATCCTTGCTCTCCTTAGCAGGTATGGTAACGTGCCCTCTATACTTGGTGTCTTCAGATACAAAATTCCTCTTCTCAAAAGCCCACCAATTATAAATTTATTGGAACATATATGAAAAATTTTCCTATAGAAGTTCTGAATTTGATTTATCTGCTTGATAAAGAATTTCCTTATTCTTTGCAGCTTCTTCCATTTTGATTCTTTAGATTTCTTTATTTTTCTAATATTCCTGACTTTCCTTATACTTCCACAGAATTTGTAAAAGAGCCCTTGAAAATGGCATAGTGTTCAAAGGTTAAAACTGAGTGAAAAAGAAATTAACCTTAGCACAGAACTCATTCATTCATTATATAATTATTAAATGCCTATTTCATGTTAATTGCTAAGATTATGTTAAAACAAACAGCCAGGTGGAGATGCCCTAAATCTCAGCACTCAGCAGGCAGGAAGATCTCTGAATTCAAGGCCTTCCTGGTCTATAGAACAAGTTCTAGGACAGCCAGTTTACACAAAGAAACCCTGTCTTGAAAAACAACAACAATACAAATGAACAAACCAAAAACAAATTCCTTTATGTGTATAGTGAAAATACTAGTTGGATATGTACATTACTAACCCCTCTTTCATATAAGTGTTTTGAGTTAGTGTCTATTGCATCAGCTAATGACTTTTCCATTTTGTAGTGACATATGCATGATGAGTTTTATGTAGTTAATGTTGTAGAGATACATTAATGTTATTAAAGTATAAAAATTCCTCTTTTTTTATATCATTTGAAACAGAGCATCCTGAAGACGTAGCTCCCACTGTTGGATTCTCTAAAATTGACCTTAGACAAGGAAAGTTTGAAGTCACCATCTTTGACTTGGGAGGTGGAAAAAGAATTCGGGGAATTTGGAAGAATTATTATGCTGAGTCCTATGGGGTAATATTTGTTGTGGATTCCAGTGATGAAGAGAGAATGGAAGAAACAAAAGAGACAATGTCAGAAGTGCTAAGACATCCTAGGATATCAGGAAAACCTATACTGGTGTAAGTAATGGAGCATCCATCGGCCAAGAGATGTTTGTCTCTTACAGAATATTAAGTAACCAAGGTGATCATCTAGTAGTATAATGAACATGTACAATTACCTGACAGTTATAATGTTATACTGCCTTTGGTAGGGACTGAAGAATTTACCTTGTGTTATGAGTGAACTTACTAATTGGATTCCTTGAGGACTCAAATATGACCAGTTTTTAGGAAATCTTTCCTCACTTCCTGCCCCCGCCCCTTTAGGCATGCTAGGCAAAGGCTCTGTGCATTTGCAGCCACTGAGCTGCAGTATCAGCCCTTTTTCAAAACAAGACTTGGCTATGTAGGTTTGGTTGAACTTGAACTCTTGGTTCTCCTGCCTCAGCATTGTGAGTCGTGCAGTCATACCTAGCTTCGTCTCAATAATTTATGTTTTGTCATTGCCATTTTTTTATTCGCTTATTTTTGGGTTTGGTTTTCTTTAAGACATGTTCTCACATAGCTCGGGCTGGTCTTGACGATGATATGTAGCCAAGGATGACCATAGATTTCAGTGATGCACATGCCTTTAATCCCAGCACTCAGAAGGCAGACGCAAATGGATCTCAGTGAGTTCAAGGCCAGCCTGGTTTACAGAGTGAGTTCCAGGACAGCCAAAGCTGTTACAGGGAGAAACCCTGTCCCGGGGGAGAAAAGAAAAGAAGCACAAACAAAACAAATTTCAGATCTATCATCTTTACCTCCCAAGCGCTGGAATTGCGGGTGTGAACCACGTTGGTCAGCAGACCCACAGTCTTGTGCAAGCTAGGCCAGCACTCTTCCAACTGCCTGAGCTAGCAACCCCACTACTGTTCTGTTTTCAGTAGTGCCTTTTTGAAAGTTACTTAAATGGTTCCTTCTCTAATGGCACTTTAATTTCTCACTCTGAGATTTCATATTTTGCTATTGCTCATGTGATCGAGCCTTATTGTCTCAGTCATATGCTTGTAGCATTTTGTCCTCAGGCTGGAACATTTGTAGAAGACATTGAGGACGGGTGTATTCATGGCATTTGTGCACAGTAAACGCCAGATGGCGCTGTAATGTGAGACAAAGCAAAAACGAAAGTCCATTAGTTCAGATTGCTCCTCCCCTCTCAGCCGGAAGTGCTCTTGCCTTTTTGTCGCTTTGCCCTCATTCTTGTAATTCATTATTAAGGTATAAAAACCTGCCATGGTTAGGTTAAGAAAATGTAAGAGGAGATTCTTCTCTGTGCTTCTCAATTGCAGATGAAGATTTTTAAAAAAGACTACGAGAAGCTTGGATTATAAAAGTTGAAACTTTATTGGATCATTTACTGATAGAGCTTATGCTTTTAAACTTTTAAGTGTTTTATTAAAGAAGTTACTACATCTGTAGAATTGAGTCTCCCTTTTATTGTATCCGAAGTAAAATATTGATAGAAGTATATATGAAAGGTGACCTTTGTGAAGCCTACAGGCTAAAGCCATCTTTGAAAATAATTACGCAGGGACTCACTAGTGTCTGGAGTAAAATTAAATTATTAATCACCTTAATCATCAAAGGAGCAGTTCATGTCCTTTTAACCAAATAGTCATTTATTTTTCTTCTTTTTTTGAGCATATATGAATCTATGTGTATATTCAAAAATACTGAGTAACTGCTACAATTTGAATTAATGCATAAGGCACTGTTTGATTTCCTATGAAGTAAACTGAACTGAAAGTTTTATTCCCTAACTTTCATCAGCCCCAGTTGGTAGTAGTGTCCTAAGAAGACAGGCGCCATCTGTAGACTTCTCTCTTGGGTAGTCTTGGCCATTGTCTTTAGAGGGTTAATATCTCACCTTTCTGGAGTCCAGTTGAGTTGTCTAATACTTGCATCCAGAATATCTCTGAAGCCACCAGCTACAATTTCTTCTCAGGATAATAACTTTACTTGTGTTAGTCAGTTTAGCTATTGGAATAGTGACATGTCTTACTATACTGTGCTGGAGACCTGGGGTTGTAGAACTAGGATTTCTTAAGCACAAGTGTGATTGCCTTGACTGGCTTCGTCACTAAGTCCACTGCTCACTGAAGTACTAGGCCCCTTGTCATAAGCGTGCTCCTGACGCTGCCATCTTCATCTACCTACTGCAGTGACGAATGCTGTGGACTCGCACTCCAGCCTCCACCCATGTGCAGCGCTCTTCGTTTGCTACCACACTCTTTAGAATGAACAAAGAGCAAATGATTGACAGTGTTGCTAGGTTGACATCAACATGTCGCCATGGACCTCCTGCTTCTATATTTTCATCTCAGACCTCTAGGATTTTGAGGATGAGACCTTTGGAATCAGTCAGGCTTCAGGAGGTGCCCTTTCCTCTCCTCCGCTCCTCTTCCCTTCCTTTGTTTCCTTTTCTCTTCTTTCCTTTGTTTCCCTGAGACAAGGTCTCATACTGTAGCCTATGCTAACTTGGAACTCCCAGCAACCTGCCAGCCCAAGAATGGGATTGCAGGTATGCAACCACCACACAGTCCAGAAAGTTACTGATTCCTTCTGAGCCTCCAAGGCTCTACGTGTGAATGGGGATTTGGATGCCTGTGCCAACATGTGAATCAGATAATGAAAGTATGGCATTCAGAGTGTTCCTACTGTTCTGCAAATGAGTTTGAATATTATTGCTGATGATACAGTGCTTCAAAGTCTTACATGAATTCAAATCATTTAATCCAATTTAGTGGTGTTAACCTGCACCCAAAAGTCTTTAATCATTTTTAATTAACTTTTGCCTTCTATTTCCAGAGCCATCAGATTCCTAATGTTCCATCTACTCTTTCAAGAATTATTTTTCTCTTCTAGATAGTTATATTAAGCAAAACAATTGCTGCTTTTACTTTTTATTAAGTGTGGAAATAAAATATACGAATATTTAACAACTGATTAAATATGCTGTATTTGTTGTTTAGGTTAGGATAATACTAAGCAACTGAAGACATAGACATAAGATATTATTTCTCATGTTATGGCATAAACATAGGTGCAAATCAACAGAGAAGTCACATAGAAGAATAAAATCAAGTAATTTGTAAGAAAATTGAAACAAGTAGGTGTCACTAGGTTAAGTGAAATTATGCCGAGACAGAAAGGCAAATGTAACATTTTTTTCTCTTTTATGTAGAATTTAGAATCTAAGGGTGCTGGTGGGGAGGCAACTTGAGAATAGAAAGCAACTACCAGAGAAGGGTAGGAGAGACACAAGCAGGTAGATAACGCATGCGTGGAAATGGCACTGTTGAACCCATTATGTATAATTCATATTAATGTGATGAAAAGAAAATGTAGCAATGAAATAGAATATTTACTGCTTTGCAATAAATCTGTGCTTAATTCTTACTCTATAAGCATGATAGAATACTAAAAAAATACTTTTTACAAATCCATCTGGGCATAATTGAACTAATGCATATTAAATAGTACTTAATAGTCTTAGTTTTCATGATTAATTATTTAAGAACAGCTATAACCAAGTATCCATAAATCTCTAAATAAAAATTTAAAAGGAACAGTGGAGGTAATAGCTGCAGTTATCTGGTCAGCTGTTGAGTTTATCATCAGTCTTAAAGGAATCTTTCTATAGAGTTCCTCGAAGAATTTTAAGCTGGACACATGAAACATCTTTTCCACAGTGATGCTTGGTACCTGACACAGTGGAAAAATTCAATGTATATTTCTAAACTAAAATTACTTCATAGTACTTAAAGCATGATCTAACATGACAATTTAATCCTTTCAAGTTCCCCAGCTCCCTCAACACACATTTCATGCATGGCACAAGTGAGGGAAGCCCCCCCCCCCAGCAGACAGGGATGCTCACATACTCTGCCAGCATCCAAGCTGCTGAATTGCTAGGTTAAAGACACAAGTGTACTGGCTGAGACCAAAAGTTATCCCAGTATATTTTGGATGGGCCCCATCTTGCCATTTTTCAAGATGTTTCAATCCTTCCCTCTGGCCTGATTGCTTCTTTTATCCCCTTCTCCCTTAACTCTGTTCTTCCCAACTGATAACTTTATCTTAGGGTTCCTTGAGGAAGTAGAAATTGTGACACCTAAATTCTCTCACCTTTTCCCACCACTCTGACCAAGACTTTAAACAGATAGAGCCCTCTGGTGAGGAGTCAGTCCTGAAGAGATGTGAAGCCAGGGCACCTTAGGACACCTAATGCAGGAAACACAGAACACAGTGACGAAGGTAGTGACCTAGAGGAGGAGCTCACTTCTGATTTGCAGAAAAGAGGAAAACTCTGTTGGAGCAGACATGCAGCCTTCCATACTCTAAGGAGGAGAGGCGACAGGGCATGGAGTCGAAATGGGATTTGGTAGTAGGAAAAAGCGCTCTAACAGACTGTGGATATTGTTGGACTCACACAAGAAATCAATTGTGAATTCACATGCTAACACAGAAGCAAGTGAAACGGATTTCTAAGATGGTGTTTATTAGCTGGGCAGTAGTGGTGCACATCTTTAATCCCAGCACGGGGAAGACAGAGGCAGGCGGATCTCTGTGAGTTCAAGTCCACCCTGGTCCACAAAGCTACACAGAACAACCCTGTCTCAAAAAAAACAAAAGATGGTGTTAATTTCAGCAGATATTTACAGTAAGGATGATGAGATGCCACAGGTCATCAGGATGGCTTTGCTAGGGTGAGTACTCAGGAAAGCACTTTCTCAAAGGCAATTGTTTTTTCTAGAAGAACAATAGTGGCAAATATTTCCTGGACAGAAATATTACCTGTTAGTAGCAATAGAAGCAAAAAAAGAAATATCATGAAGGTAACCATGTTGCTTTCATATGTAGGAAATTGTAAGATTTTACCAATAAGAAAACAAAAATATGCCAGGCGGTGGTGGCGCATGCCTTTAATCCCAGCACTCGGGATGCAGAGGCAGGTGTAGCCCTGTGAGTTCGAGACCAAGCCTGGTCTACAAGAGCTAGTTACAGGACAGGCTCCAAAACAATACAGAGAAACCCTGTCTCGAAAAACCAAAATAAATAAATAAATAAATAAAAGAAAAGAAAACAAAAATATATTCTCCAGTAGGAAGACTAAATATCTTTATGGTGCCTATGCCCCACCCACCAATGGCAACATTCAAGTGAACATAGAGGGCTGGAGACGTAGCTCAGTGGTTAAGAGCACTGGCTGCTCTTCCAGAGGTCCTGAGTTCAAATTCCAGCAACCACATGGTGGCTCCCAGCCATCTGTAATGAGATTTGGTGCCCTCTTCTGACCTGTAGGCATACATGTAGGCAGAATAATGTATACATAATAAAAAATCTTTTTGAAAAAGTGAGCTTATAATTGGTGATAATAAGGACAGGTTTATTTCAGGCATAACAAATGGAGAGAATAGAATCTCCAGAATGACCCAGAATAGAATCTCCAGAATGACCCGCTCCATTACAGAAAGAACAGTGCAGACGGAGCACAGTGCAAAGACAGCCGAGAAGTGAAAGGCAGGGCTTCAAGAAAAAGCAGAATGGGCTCAGTGGTGCATTCCTGTGTCTTCCGAGCACGCTGGAGGCTGTCAGAAGGACCATCACACAGTCCTCTCTGGCCTCTTCATTAATTTATACTTCACCATAAGGTAATGTCACATGTTCAAACACACAGTTGCCTTTTGACTTTATCAAGTCCTCCGATCTGTATGTAATTCAGTTTCTTGTCCGTTTCCACGTTCATAAAAACAGACTTACCTCACCTTAGGTCTTATGCTTGACTGTCATCACGTTTATGATTGTGTTTTCCCAGAGTCCAGCTAGCACCAGGTTTACTCACCTATCTGAGGACAAAGACTTAATAGGCCTTTTAGCTTCATTTTGATGCACTGTGGCATCTTTTGAGACCTTGCTTTATACAACTCTCAGTTACCCAACTATTCTCAAATAAGCCAGAATAATAAAGTATCTGTATCACTTAGTTGAATATTCATCATAAGAATTCAGAAATGCACAGGAGGACTCGATATCTTTCCAGAAACGTAAGTTCTTTCACTGTCATTTTTAATAGTTAACCTGCACATTTAAGTGCCTGTCTTGTGTCACCGGCTTCAGCATTTCTGTTAACTTTAGTGGACAAGTGTTAAAGGGAAAAGTGGCCAGTTAGCAGTGTTAAAATGTATGTAACTGGACTTGTGGAATGCAGACAACCCAAACAAGACTCTGAAATGTGGAAACCTTAGCCCTGAACCCCGAGAAGTTTCTTTATTTGGAACCACAGCATGGGCAGCAGCAACAGCACAGAACGCTGCAGGGGTTTCTTCTTTTGTATTTTACAGCAAGTCCAAATTTCTCTTTGGTATTGATGACATAATCTTTTGTGCTGGTCACCATTGCCTCAATGTTGTTGAGGCTTTCTCCTTGCTCCTCTACCAGAAGAGATATCTGAATGAAGAGGTCCCGCAGGTCCTTCACTTGATTCTCCAGATTCACAAGCTCTTTGTGTCTCTGTTCAATCTCCGAGAGCTGTGCTTTAGTGATGCTGGTCTCGGTGAGTAAGCTTTCATTAAAAACTTCCCATTTCCCATGATGAAGCATGGCATTCACTTCCTCTTCAGACACTTCCTTTCCAGCCACTTCAAGCTGGCGGACAATAAATGTCTTGCACTTCTCTTGCTTTGAGGCTATTGTGTCGTTGTAGAGAAACATGGTTTGCTGAAAGTGGCGGAACATCGCGGCATACTGAGACTTCAGTATCCTTGTGACCACTGATGACGGACCATTGTCAATCTCTGACTTATTTACTTCTTTGACCAAATCACCCAGTGCTCTGTTAATGTGTTCTGCTTGGATTTTTATCTCCTTCGCAATGGTCGAGTCTCGCTTAAGTAGGCTAAACCTTCTCATGGAAGCCATCAAGCTCTTCTGTTGCTGTCCAAACTTTTGAACATCATCAGCAAAGCTGTTAATAGTCTCCTGCAGTTTTTGGATCTCATGTAGATGTCTCTCAGCTACAGGCTCTCTCTCATAAATAACAGCTTGCTGGACAAGCACGCCTTGGTCATCTGCTTCTGCAAACACCTGACTGTCCAGAGAGAGTTCGATTTCCTTGGTTCTCTGTTTTAATTCTTGAAGTCGGTCTTTCATCTTTCCTTCTCTCCTAAGAAACAAAAATAATGAAGTTAAACAAAGAAGTTGCTGTTTTTCCCCATTATCTATGTATTTCTTAGCAAAAATTCTAGTTTTCTAACAGGAAGTATTAAAAAATGAGGAATATGAACACGGCATGATGGCTCTCGCCTGAAATCCCTGTAGGGAGACTAAGGCAAGCGTACGGCAAATTCAAGGCTATCCTAGGCTACATATGGAATTTGAGGCCAACCTGAATTATATAGTAATAGCTAAAAAAGAAAAAGAGAATCAAAACTTAATTTCCTCCTAGAGATGATCAAAATAGAGAAAGTAAGACAAGGTAATTTAGGAATTACTTTGGATGGTTGCTCCTGCCGTACATCTCGTTTATTTGAGTATAGTCGCTGAGAAGGCAATTGGGAGGATATAGTTGCCCACAAGTAAGTTCATCTATGCCATTATACTGTCCACAACACAATTTTCCATTACAAAAGTTGCTTTGACTGTACTTTAACTTTTAGGATTGGACTTAGCCTCCTAAAAATGATTCCTTTCCCATTGAATTTAGTCTATGTCCTGTTTAAAATAGACATTTTTCTGGTACTGGAGAGTTGAGAACACCTAGTATTTTTGCAAAGGTTCAGGGCTCCTTTCCCAGCACACAAAAATGACAGTGTAACAACCATATGTAATTACAGTTTCAGGAGATCTGATGCCCTTTTCTCATTTCTGTGGGGACCACATATGTATGTGATAAACATACATACATCAGGCAAACTTTCATCTGCATAAAAATATGCACATATATAATCATTGTACTGAATATGTACAGAATAAATCCTCTGGATTTTAAGTGACATATAATGAGCTTTTTGAATTAGCATATTTTATATAGCCTTGTTTTCTTCTCTATTGCATATATGAAAATTACTCAATTGATTATGCTGACTTCTCATTCTTGTCAGTTATTTCCAAGGATCTCAACTCCTAGGGGAAAATGTATAGGAACTCATATGATAATCTTTAGACTTGAGAACATGTTTATATATGACCTTCCCTGAGAATGCTGATATTTACATTTTCAACTAGTGCTCTTAATTGTCCATAGCATCAAATCAAATTGAAATAAGTTAAATATGATTATATATAATGATAAGGCAGTGACACACACACACATACATACATACATACAGTGAAATAAATAAAAGCTATTATTGTTGCCGGGTGGTGGTGGCACACACCTTTAATCCCAGCATTCGGGAGACAGAGGCAGGCAGATCTCTGTGAGTTTGAGGCTAGCCTGGTCTACAGAGCGAGTTCCAGGACAGCCTCCAAAACAATACAGAGAAACACTGTCTTGAAAAACCAAAAAAAAAAAAAGCTATTATTGTTAATAAACCACTATTTTCTTAATCCTTGAGTATAGAAAGGCACTTAATGCCTTCATAGTTTTGAAAAGACTGAGTAGGAATATAAATAGCTCATTTATCTCTAGATATTTTCTTAATATTGAACAGAGAGAACTCTGATAGGGTGTAATAATGTGAGACTCAATATTTGATATATTTATACAGATTTTTTAAATTAATGATTTGAACATATAGTTATAAGATATATTCATGGTGCATAGTGTGGAATTATCTTTAGTGTCCTGAAGTTGTATTGAAATTCAGAGATTAAAGATTAAAGTAACATCAATCATATCCTAAATGTAAAAGTAAAAAAAAAAAGAGAGAGACTTAATGGGAAAGGATGTGAAATATCAAGTATTTAGCTATAAAATAGAAAACTTTGTTTCATAGCAGTTATCTATGACAAAGTGTTGGACTTCAATACATGCTTTTGTTCAGCTACCAGAATAATAAGTACCAGTATAATAGGCTAAGAAAGATACTTGTGCCACTTAAATTATGCTATTCATGGCATTTTGAAGGTATGATGCTTTGTGATGGAAACTCATAAATTAGAAATCCACAAAGGAATTTGAAGTAGAGAATCTTTGAAATAAATTTAAATAGTTGTAAGAGATCTCTTTTACAATTGTTTTCTAAAATGTGAAAATCTGTCTATGCAGCATGGTTAGACATAGCATCATTCTAAAGGTCATTGGGTGGGAATTATATGGAAGGAGTGTTAATGTAGTATCACTTTGTAAGCATGCAGAACTGTCGTGAGATGAACTAGTTTATGAAGTTAGAATTGAAGAGATATATACGGTCATCATATTCTCAACAGATAATCAGGCAAGGCTGTTGTGGAATATTACTTTAACTATGTAAAGGTGTGTTGCATTTGTTTAACTAGGCAGAGATATATTGCTGTTTTACCTTGCCTGCTTAGGGTACCTGATTGGTCTAATAAAAAGCTGAACAGCCAGTAGCTTGGCAGGAGAGAGACAGGTAGGGCCAGAAGGCAGAAAGAATAAGTAGGAGGAAGAATTTAGGCCAGAGAGAAGAGAAAAGAGAAAGAGGAAGAAAGGGAAACTCACAGGCTCAGGCAGCCAAAAAGGTTAAAAGCCCCGAGGCAAAACATAGATGAAAAGAAACAGGTTAATTTAAGTTATAAGAGCTTGTCAGACAAGCATTCATAACCAAAAAGTCCATGTCATGATTGGGGTGCTGGTCGGTGGCCCAAAAGAAAGCCTGCTACACAAGGCCTCTTTAAGGAGATATTTGTGTTGTGACTCCGAATATTGAGAAGCCAGACAGGGAAGAGACATGAGAGTGTAGGCTCTATACAGGAGCTAGAATGCCAAAGCAATGAGTGAGACTGATGTACTTTAAAAAATTATTTCTAATTATGTGTATTGTGTGTTTCTGAATGGATACTTGCATGTGAGTAGATATCTGTCAAGACCACAGGTGTTGGATGCTCTGCAACTGGAGTTAAAAGTGGCTGCGAGGCTCCTGCTATAGGTTATAGAACTGGAACTCATGCTGTCTGACGCTGTTGTGATTTAAGAAAAAATGAATGCTTGTGTAGGTAGAAATTAGTAGAAGGAAAACTAACCGAGGAAAGAAATCAGAAAGGTAGATAAGAAGCAGATTATAGACTTGTATGCAGGGTAAGGAATGTGAGTTTACTATAGAAGAGTCCGTGTGGCATTGGCGTGAATTTTGTTTTCAAAAGTTTTTTTTAAACTTATTTTAAATAAAATTGTTTCCTAGTGTAGCAAAAGTGGCTCATGAGTTGAATAATAAAAACAGAATACATGAAAATCATTGGGGAATGTTTTTGAAAGTAGAAGCAATATGACCTAATTTTAACCCATCAGCCACATCTGGCAAAATTAGCTTTTGAGACACTGTCCAAAAAAAGTGTTTGACCTTTTATCCCTTGTTCTTTCATTCCCAACCTCCCCAAGGCCCTGTTTTCTCATCTCCTCTAACTCTGAATATTGAGGTGCTTATAAAGTGAAGGATACCCACCATTATTGTTAGTAATGACACTAAATACGTTGATTCCAAGTTAGATCTCCAGTCTAGATTGCTCTTGAAATACCTTCTTGTTAGGTGTGTATGTCTGGAGTGAGTCAGTCATATCTCAGTGCTTAGATTGTTCTGGCTCACTCACAGCAACTCAACTCTGCTCTTTCAGGACTCCAATTCAAAAGCACCAGTCATCCTTGATTATTTTTTTCAGTATTTTATGTCTTAGTTCATTTCCAAACAACTAATAAAGCTCATCAGCCTTTCTTCCTTAGTATATTTGAAGCTGGCCATCTCTTCCAGTCTGAACCAAGACATTATTCACGTGGATTACTGTCATAGTCTCCTGAGTGCCAGCTTCCTCTTTCACAACCTCATCTTTTCTCATGAGAGATTTCAGTTAAAATGGGCTTCTGTGCCCCAAACTCCCCTTTGGTATCTCTTCGAGAAAAAGCCAGCACCTAGAAGGGAAAGACTACCTAGGCACACAGCAAGTTCTAAATACAAGTAATTGGAATGGTTGGGCATATAGGAAAGACTCCACATCCCAAGGAGTAAAGCCTTTTAACGTCAAAAGTTTTTACATGTTGGCTGTTTGCTCACACTTTCATTATACTTCTATTACTGAAGTCTTGTGTTTCAAGCTTCTGCTGTCTATAGGACATTTGAAGTGTTCTTTTTACTTCACCTATTTTAAATATTTTAACTCCAGTAGTTCATAGATCCTCTCCCCCAAACACACACTCACACACACACACACACACACACACACACACACACACACACACACACACAGATGTAATGTAACATTAAAACCAAATTCAAACCTGGGCCGTGGTGGCCCACACCTTTAATCCCAGCACTCAGGATACAGAGGCAGGCCAGCAGGGTATACAAAGCAAGTTCCAGGACAGCCAGCTACACAGAAACCCTGTCTGGAAAAACAAAACAAAACAACAAAACAAGCAAACAAGAAAAACACAACCAAATTCAAAATAAGGGATTTCTAAGCTGGAAAAGGATTCTTCTTGCCTGTCATCTTCATTCTGTTTTCACCTTTCCTTGCACGGAGTAATTTCTCTACCTTCTGATAAAGACTACTGGGTTAGAAACTACCACAGTAGTGAGTTTCACAACTCAGAGTGAATAACAATATTAAACACTGACATTAAATATAGAAAACTTGCAAAATGAAAATTAGTCACAGAGGAATATAAGACTAGATATTATACTAGGAATGTAATTATGGATCTGTATATTCTGTATATCTTCTTGAAATATTTTGCCTCTTTTCCATAGGTCTAGGATGTAAAACAGAATGAATGTACTGAGTAATATCTACTATTATTATTTATGTCCCCTATTAAAATGTAAACAGTAATTTTGATCAGGAAAGATTTCAATACTAAAGCAAACAATTATATGTAAAAGATTTTATAGCTCATTTTTATAGTTTTTCCTCATTTTGTTATATAATTAGTGGTGTAGTGTTGTATATATGTGTGTGCGTGCGTGCGTGCGTGCGTGCGTGCGTGCGTGCGTGCGTGTGTGTGTGTGTGTGTGTGTGTGTGTGTGTGTGTGTGTGTGTGTGTGTGGCATTGCCAATGTATGGAGGTCAGAAGACAACTTCTGGAGCCGGGAGTTAATTCCCTCCTTCCACCATGTGGATTACAAGGAACTGAACTCAGGTCATCAGGTTTGGCAGCAAGAACTTTAACTTGTGGAGCTATCTTACCATCACTAGTCATTGGATTTTTGAGACAGGTTAGGCTAGACTTGAACTCAAAATCCTTTTGTTTCTTCCTTCTAAGTGCTGAGGTTACAGATATACATCACTCACCTAGCAATTTCCCCTGTTTTAATTATACTAAACAAGTTATGTCATATATTACTTGTAATTGTAGCATGTAATTAACTATAGTTAATTATAATCAATTAATTCAAATTAATTAATTCAATCCTTAATTCAAATTTTAAGAGTCTAAATCCTTAATTCTAAATTTTAAGAATTACAGTAATTCCTTGTAAAAGTTAAATCCTACCTAATTCTATTATATGGCAGTGTAATTCTCAAGCCTTGAGTTAATGTTCGGAATGGTTATTTTTGTCTATATATGTTCACAAGAGTTCTAGTCTCCATCTTGGTTTTTTGGAGACCCCAGTTCCACCTTTCTGGCATGGCCATTTCCATATCTAGTCCAGCCCTGAGCCTTTCACAGGCATTACAACACCTTCTCTAACATGTTTAGGATGGGATGATCCTTTTGTCTTAAAAAAAAAAAAAGCAGCAAATTATTGGTGCCATAGACAAGCTTTTTCCTGATGTGTTAGTTGTTTTAGTAAGTGCAGAGGGGTGTGCAAATGTATTCATATGTACATTCCTGCATATGTCATGTATACACATAAAACCCAAGTAAATATTAGAACATTTCTTTCTTTAGATCACTGTTAGTGATGTGAACATGATGCTTATATGGTTAGTATCATTAGATATCATATAAATATATATGTTGTGCATCAATTTTTGGTTGTGTATCATTTCTTTGGAATAGCTAACATATTTCTGTTAAAGTTTCTTTGTATTATCAGGTTATCTTTCTTGGTAATAAATTCTTTCCTTTCAGGTGACCACTACTGGCTACTCTCTTGAAGGTAGACAAATGTATTATTGTGTCCATTGAGATACATTATGTGGGAATGTCCTCGATGCCTTTCTATGGATTCAATCTAAGGTTGTTTGATTGTTCCTACTAAAGCCATGGAATTTGTCCACTGTTGTCCAGGCAATGGGAGTACAGACCTGGAGGTTGAAAACATCTGCCAGTGCTAGAAAGCTTGCCCAGTAATTCATGGTACCCTGGGTTGTACTTACAGAATCACAGAAAAGACACATAAACATATGTGTTTGTATGTGTGTATAAATAGGTAGGCAGACAGACATACAGACAGACAGCTCAGCTTTCTGTGATTTTGTTAAATCCTGCTCTAATCCTGGACTAGTTAAAATAGGTATTTCTGTGTCTGTACAGACTGTTCTCTTTTCCCTAGTTCATCTAGGAAATTCAGGTTTATTTGCTATAGTATCTAAAGCCCAAGTCCCAGCCTCTAAGATAGACTCTTTTCTTGTAGTAGTCCAAGGTGGTTGTGTTTAATTTCTGTTCATAACTGTGCTTATGTTCCCTCTTCATTTCTAGAACCTGCCAAATTTTGCTATTTTAAAAGCTTTTGGTATGGTTTTAATTGATACCTTTAAAGTTAAGTTTATATCAGACATTCCTCCATATTCCAGACAGAAGGGAACCATTTAGAAAATAGCTGTCTACTGTGATGAAGACATAGGTGATGACCTTTGCAGTGTTACCGTATTTACACGTTTTCTTCAATTCTTGTTTGTCCATTTAGAAACTCAGGTGCACTTATATGCTGTGTGTATGCATTTTTTAGCAGTTGGTGTTCATTACTATTTATGTACAGCTTTTGCCAGTTTAATTTTATGTCCATAGATTAGAATTAATCATATTAGAATTTAAATTTTGGATACAGTTCATGTAAACATAAATATGAAACTCATAAGAAATCATTTAATTGGTTAGGCTAGATGAAATTCATGAGATCATTTTTTTATGCAGTTCTCTTAGAGTGGTAGTATTCTGTCTATAGATGATAGGATCATCAGTACATTTAATTTGCTACTGTAAATTTTTGAATTTGCTGTGTGGTTTGAGTTTCACCCATAATGTTGACTATGTCTGTGAGTGTAAGTGTGGTATTTGAGAAAAGAATAAAATATGATAGTAGCTGATACATGTGGTAAAAACTTATAGTAGTTTCCTGTGGAAAAGAGAAAAAGTAAGTAGGAATAACGCAAAGGGAACTTGTCCACCCTGTTACAGAGAATGCAGATTCCTAGAGACAAACATGAATATGTATTACCCACAGCCTTTAGAAATATACCATGGGGCAGCGGTGGGGAACACCCTTAATCCTAGCACTGGGGGGGAGGGCAGAAGCAGGAGGATCTCTGTGAGTTCGAGGCCAGCCCAGTCTACAGAGTGGGTTCCAGGACAGCTAGGGCTACACAATGAAACCCTGTCTTGAAAACCAAAATAAATCAATAAATTAAAAAATAATAACATTTAAAATATACACCATGGGAAACATGTCTAATATGCTTATGGACGTTCTAAAGTAAACCTTCTGTAGTTACTATGTTGATTAATAGGTACTTCAAGAAATGCATTTTGTTCTTATGTATAAGGGGAATCTTACTCTATATATTTTGTAAGCTTGAATTGGCTGACATTTTCAGTAATGTATCCTTTCAGTATCCTTTCTTTGGATTTGAGGTCCAAGTGTTATTTTCTTTTTGAACTAACTAGTAAGATCATAACTTTATTAACAGTTAGTTGTTTTTTTTTTACTTTTGCTTATCTGATTCAGATATGAGATAGTCTTCATATTAAATTTCAAAGTGCATAGCCTTGAAGAGAGATTGCCTTGCATATATAATGTGGCCAACTTCATATCTCCTTTAAAAACACAAAAGTCATTATGTTGATTTGAAATGAGTATTTATTAAATTCAGATATCGGAACAATTATAACTTAGGAAGTACATTTCATTTAAATGGTGCCAATTTAAATATTAAGTTGATCTAATGGCTTGAAAAAAACTATGCTTGAGTGCTTCGATATTTTATAGTAGCCCTTCCCCAACAAAACTATTTTTCTGTCAAATTTGGGCATAAAGTTCTGTTCAGCACTAAGTGTAAAAGTCCTGTCTAAAATAAACATAGCATTATTTAGTATCAATAAAGAAAGAATTTCAGATTTGTTTTCACAGGATCTGTTTTTCTAAACTGAGAAGTTTTTATAGAATTAAAGTAATGATTTTATCTGAGGTTGGTAATTCCACCTCAGTCCTCTTCAGGTCATCCTAGCCAGGATAGGTCGGCTGCTTGCAGCTCTGTGCAAATCTAAGCAGTAAAATAACTGAAGGACCTGCTGAGCCATTCTTGGCTGTCACAGAGTACCTGCTTTGCAGTTTCTGGGTATTTCACTTTACATAGCATGTGCACATGTGCATACACACACACACACACACACACACACACACACACACACACACACACTAATTCACTTACCTTACTGTCTTGTTCTTGGTTTCCCACCCGTGGTGTTAGAGTCCTTAGTCTGAGAGAAAATCCGAGTGCCATGGAGTGTAATGCTCGATCCAATGCTTAGATCACTTCTAAGCCACAGGCTTTCCTTATGGTTCTCATACAGTTAACTGAAAGCCAAACAATGAAGTCAAATATGTTGGAGATAAAGTTGTACATTTGCTGTTACTATCAAATGAGAATCGTGAATTGCTTACTTCACACCCGGGAAATCTGGTTTTGCCTGTTCCTCACCTGTTCTTAGATTAAAGGGAGATGGCTTTCAGTGGAGCTCCTTGGTAACAGGAAGTCCTTGTTAAATTGTTCACATAGAGTGTGAGTACATTCACTGTACCCAGTCTACACTGCCTGCAGAATGCCTGACTTCCGAAAAATGCTGGTGTGTCTAAACAAAGGTGTCTTTGTAGATTTCAAAACCTGAAAGGACAGAACGAGTTAGGCCTGAATAGGAATGGAAGGAAGCCTAGTGTGCAGAGTTTTAGATTCCGTTTATGATTGAATTCTCTTCTCCTTGGAAATCCCACAGGGTTTAACTCACAGAATTTCAGAGGACCTTTGTCTTCAAACCTTCCACTTCACGTTTCTTTCTATACTGTTATTTTTACTTTAGAGTAAGTTTCTATAATTTCTCAAAGTAGAATAACAGTTATGCAGTATGTTTATTATGTCAATCTAGAAATTCAAAATTAATTTCTACCAGGAAGGAATACTTAACAGAGATGTAGGAATGAAAATTCTTTCATAGTATCAAATTTCTAAACCTTTACTTTTTTTGATGTTCCTACCTCCTACCCCCAGTGGAGATGTGGGATGGACATTGCTGTAATCAAAGTGAAATGTAGATTGAGTCTTTGAATTCCCACTTCCTCAAATCTGTTCTTTCCCCCTTCCCTACCAAATAAAACACTCCTTCACAGTAAGTACTCAGTCAAGATGTCATTTTGTACCTTAGAGTGAAGTACAGATTTCTTTATTCCGCATCAAGATAATTTCAGGATTGAATCTTGCGTTTGAAAAACATATCATGGTAGAAAAGAAACATGTTCTCCACAGTACTCAGTTGCAAATTTTGAAATACCACCCCAATATATATATATTTTTTTTTCAAACAAAATATCCATGTTTATATTTTCAAAAAGAAACAGTGTGAAGTTGAACTAAGAAATAGTGAAAATGATTGTGTATTGAATGATGGGTGGAGTAGGAGAAGCCTCCACAATAATTTCCATACTTGCTTCATCTGGTCACTCTGGTGTGAAATGGGATGGAGCTCACATTCCCACCAGCACTGTTAAGAAGAAAAGGCATGGATTCCTGTCTGCGGGTTGTGGACAGTAGCCTGCTTCCTCTATTGGTAGTTTTTATTATCGTTGGGTGGTTGCTTGTCTTTTTTCACTGGCTGCTTTTGCTTGGGTTTTAGTAGCCAGTTCTTCTACACTGGAATTTAGAGCAGTCGCCATGAAAGGTTATGAAATCTGTGCTACAGTATTCCCTGAGCCAGCTTATTCTATAATGACAGATTTAAATCTTGGGAACAGAGACCGGGGAAGGGACACTTCAGTTGCCATGTGATTATACATTTGCTGTTCAACCAGTTCATTTGTCTTCCTAGATTGGCAAATAAACAAGACAAGGAGGGGGCTTTGGGAGAAGCCGATGTGATTGAATGTCTGTCCCTGGAGAAGCTGGTCAATGAGCACAAGTGCCTGTGCCAGATAGTAAGTATATTATGCTATTAGTATGATTATCATTATTATGTTTTAATTTTGTTCAGAAAACTTAGTTTCTATGGAAGTGGTAGTCAACTGGAAAACAATCTTTTGGGGCAGCTGTACGGTAAGGTAACTCAGCTGAGAAAAGCGCCCAGGCTTGACCATGGGAGTTCTCTCCCTGGGACCCAGTATGGTAGGAGACCACAGACCCCTGCAGGTTGTCTCCTGACCCCATGTGCTGTGCTGTTTGCCGCATACCCCCAGATTAATAAATAAACGTAAGGAGATAAAATAGTAGTGAAATAACCTTTAGGCCATGCACCATTCTGTCATTGTTCAGTTAATACTGTAATATCTCTTCTATTGTTTTTCACTAACTTCTAGAAACTTTCCTACATTCTTTCTAAATTTTTATGTTTGTTCTTGTTGGTAGATATCGCTGATAGAATCAGTAACCTTTCATGTTGCAAATTTTGGAAATTAGAAAACAAAAAATTTTTAGTATAAGAGATTTAATAGGATTTTTAAAAAGTTACAGCATACTGTGAGCTGTCGTACAGTCTTGAGGAACACAGCAGAGGACTTACTCTCGGGAAATGACTGTGAGACTGTAGGTCTCATAGATGTGTCTGTTGCTGTATTTTCACAGGCAGATGATTGTTTTCCTTTGTTCTTTGTTCTTTTTCTGCTTGCTTGGTTTTTGTTGTTTGTTTGTTTGTTTTTGGATTTTTTGTTTTGTTTTGTTTTCCACACAGGGTTTTTCAGTGTAGTAGCCCTAGCTGTCCTGGAGTGTGATTTGTACACCAGGCTGGCCTTTAACTCACAGAGATCCACCTGCTTCTGCCTTCCGAGTGCTGGGATTAAAGGTGTGAGCCACTGTACCTAGCTCAGCCTAAGAGTTTACAACCTCCAATATTTTTTCCCAAACCTCCTGGTTTTTTTTGTTTTTTGTTTTTTTGTTTTGTTTTGAGACTGTCTATGTCACTCTTGTTGGCTTCAAATTCTCAAAAATCTGTCTTCCTGTTTCTGCCTCCAGAGTGCTGTGTAGAGAGGTATGTACTACCATGCCTGGTCTTTCCTGGTGTTCTTAGTGCTTTTCCCAGGGCATTTCAGTTTGTCTTCCAGTAAATTTATGTAAAATGGTATCTGGTCCTCTCATCTTTTTCATGATGTAACATAGATTACATGTATAATTATTTTCAAGCTCTGATGGTACTAAATTTAGTTATTACAAAATTGTGTTTCGCAAGTTATATTATTAAAGGATTAAATTTTACTTTACCGATAAATTTACTTAATGGTTATTTGTGTGGAGAACTTTTAGCTTTAATCATTGGGTCAAATGATTTTCTTTAGGAACCTTGTTCAGCAGTCTTGGGATATGGAAAGAAAATTGACAAGTCCATTAAAAAGGGGCTTTATTGGCTACTGCATATCATTGCAAAAGACTTTGATGCCTTAAGCGAACGCATCCAAAAAGACACAACTGAACAGCGAGCTCTTGAGGAACAAGAGAAGCGAGAGAGGGCTGAGCGAGTTCGAAAATTACGAGAAGAAAGGTAAGTTGATTAAATTTACCACACAGCTCATCTGAAGATTAAAAGAGACAGTTTTAATCTGTTAAGTTTTGCTAATTCAGTCTGTATGTTCAGTTTTCTCTCTTTGTGTATGAAGAAAGATTTTAAATAAGTTTCCCATTTCTGTGAATCTTTGCATACACAAGTGTAGATGGTCCTTTTGTTTTGTTGTGCTAGAGAATGCAGCCCAGGGCTTGGTGTATGGTAGGCAAACACTCCACTGTGGAGCCCTATCTCCAGCCCAAGTGATGAACTTGTAAAACTTTCCTGGGGATGGAATAGTAGTTAAGTATGCTTCTTAAGTAGTAACTGCTTCCCAAAGTTTTAAATTTGTATTAACTGATGCTAAGTAATTTCAGAGTCCTTCTTCTCAAAGTCTCAGGAGATTTCCCTTTAGGAACAGGTAGAGTGTCTGGAGGCATTTTTATTTACTGTGGGTGGGGTGACATAGGTAGAGGTGAGGGTGGCGTTAACCTCCCTGTAATACACAGGGAGCCTCAGCAAAGAAACATCAGATTCAGTGTGTCAAAATGCAACGGAATGAGAAGCTGGTACATATCCTTAGTATAGACTTGTGATGTTAGGATTGATTAACTCAAACCTGAGCTGGAACAGTGATTTCATCATAAAGCTTTGCTGTCCTGAGGTGTTATTTTTAAGGACTTTTCTTTTTTTGGTTTTTCGAGACAGGGTTTCTCTGTGGCTTTGGAGGCTGTCCTAGAACTAGCTCTTGTAGACCAGGCTGGCCTCAAACTCACAGAGATCTGCTGGGATTAAAGGCATGTGCCACCACTGCCCGGCTTAAGGACTTATTTTATTTAACTGTGTGCATACGTGTGTATACGTGTGTATGTGTGGGTGTGCGTGTGGCTGTGTGCACAGGAGTGCAGGCGCCCAGGAAGGACAGGAGTGTGGGATGCCGGGAGCTGGAGTTACAGGCAGCTGTAAACCACCCATCCTGGGTGCTGAGAACTGAACTTGTGTCTTCTGGAAGGGCAGTGCTCAGGTTCTTATCCTCTAGGCCATCTGTCCAGGCCCTAGCTTGAGTTTTAAGATATATTTTTAAATATTCTGTATGAAGGAAAGCATTTAAATTAAATTCACCAAGTTGAAAAATGATCAGTATTTCAGAATCATTTATAAATTAATGCTATAAGAAGATGCTGAGATTTCAATAGAGTTAAATTTAATACTCAGTCTTAAATTCCTCTTTGTAACTTTCGTTACTTGTTGGAATGAAAGAAAATGAGAAAGAAAATCGAAGCAAAGTCTTATAAGGTTTGCAGTTGCTTCCAGCAGCCTCAGTAACATTGGCCTTCTGTACGATTTTCTAAGATCCTCCAAGCTGTCCCCTACTCTGAGGACTTTGTGAGGCCTCTTTTATATTGTGAAGGAAGCCTTCCTGTGGTACTGATCATGTAATTCAGAGATAGGACTTAAAGGAAAGAAATATGTGTGGAATTACTCTACAACCACCAAGCTCCAGGCGATGTCATCATGCCCCTTTTCTACATCTCCTCTGATACCAGAACATGGAATGGGTGGTTTTTTTCCTCATTTTTAAAATTAGTTCTTTGAGAATTTTGTACAATTTATTTTTCTCTTATTCACCCACTTCTCAAATGGGGGAGGACTACCTGGGTTTCCCTGCTACATGCAGGACTGGGGTGACTACCTGGGTTTCCCTGCTTTATGCAAGATGGGGAGGAGGACTCTCTGGGTTTCTCTGCTACATGCAGCATGACCAGCTCCTGATGAAAGAGGTTCATGTGAGAATTCTTTGGTATTTTTGTTTTTAACCCTAGTATACCTTTTCATAATATAAAGAATCGTTATAGCCAATCATGTAAAATACCATATGAGTGTGTGTGTGTGTGTGTGTGTGTGTGTGTGTGTAAAAATAAAACATGGCCACATTTTTTTGGAAAATTCTTTTCCCCAGTTCAGAAATAAAAACTTGGGGTAAAGATAGAGCTGGCTCACTGGTAGAGTGCATGGGAGCTAGCTGCATGGATTCTGGATTGAATTCTCTGTACCGAACAAGGGAAGAGAAAGGAAGAGAGGGAAGCAGGTAGCAATAATAATTGAGTTAGATACAAGAAATATTCTCTGAGTCATCTTAGATAAGTTCCTTCCCTTCCATAGTGATGCTCCAGATGATGTTATAGGAAGTCTGTCCTGTATTCACCTCCTTCTCCCTAAGTCTCCTAGGCAGGGCAGTTAGAGAGGGGAAACTTCAGTATTGACTCCATCATCACTAATGAGTGGGGAACCACAATGGCTGTCCTATATGTATGTTCATTTACAGAGTATTCTCGCATGACCTGCCTTCGCTTGTGTTGAAGTAGCCTTATGACTGTTGTAATCTCATCTGCAGGGAAGCTGAGACTCAGAATTCTAGGTAAAAGTCATAAGAGGTGGTAAAGCAAAATTTCCATATCTTGGCTTTCTAGGTTCAGAATGGAAAGGTAGATTTTTTTTTTCATCATGGAACATATCGACAGGGCAATGGACTATATTCTTCCTACTAACCTCTTTCCCCGCTCATCTCTTTCCTGTTCTTCAGTAACCACTCTTTGACTTTCAGATCGTTGTTTGTATAGGCAAAACCTCTATTCTATACAATAATACATTATTGTGTCCATGTACTATATGTATAGAATCCATTTATTTTCTATATATTCCATTTATGTGGTGATGAGCTCTAGGCTGATTCTGCACTTGATGAATATGAACAGCATTGCAGTGAATTTGGGTTTGCAAGTGTATATTTTTGTTTGCTTCATTTTCCATAGGTGTACACCCAGAAGTGGTATAACCAGATAACATGACTATTTTGATTTTTAGGGTTTTTTATTGGTTTTCATTGTGGCTATACAGATTTGTATTTCTACCAGCAAGGACTGTTCCTTTTTCTCCTACATCCTTGCCAGTCAGCATTTTGTTTGTCTTATAATGGTAACCATCCCAACTGTAGTGAGATAGAATTTCAATGTAGTTTTCATAGTATTGGTTTATATTTCTATGATGACTAAAAATGTCAACACCTTATATGGGTATTGATCTTTTGAGAAGTGACTGTTTTGAGAATTTGCCTGTTTTTTTGTTTGTTTAATATATTATTTACGTTGTTGTTAATTTTTTTGTTAATTATTTTGGATACCAAACCTCTGTGATTAATAGCTGACAAGAACACTGATTTTCTTCCATTCTTCACAGTTTCCTTTCAATTTGTTTACTGTTTTCTTTCCCTGCAAAGCTTTTAAATTTTAATGTAATCATATTTGCAAATTCTTGCTTTCATTTTCCAAAACACTAAGTTTCAACTTTTCCAGTAAGGTTTCAAATTCTGTTGATGTGTTTTGTTTTGGTTTGGGTTTGTTTGTTTGTTTTTTCTTGTTTTTTTTTTTTGTTTTTTTTGTTTTTTTTGTTTTTTGTTTTTTGTTTTGGTTTTTCGAGACAGGGTTTCTCTGTGTAGTTTTGGAGGCTGTCCTAGCACTCGCTCTGTAGACCAGGCTGGCCTCGAACTCACAGAGATCCGCCTGCCTCTGCCTCCCGAGTGCTGGGATTAAAGGCGTGCGCCACCAACGCCCGGCTGTTTTTTCTTGTTTTAACAAACTGGGAGTTAGGTAATCACAATCATATAGCTGTAGATTCGTGAACTTATTTTTGTGTTCTCTATACTATCCATTGGTTCACATGTTTGTTTACTGTGCTGTGTTGTTTGTTTTTTCTATGTCACTCTAGTTTATTTTGAAATTGGGTACTGGGTATTATAATTGACCTAGCATTATTCTTCTTGACCTTGGTTTCTTTAGCTATTCTTTGCCTTTATGTTTCTGTATTAATTTAAGGCTTTTTCCATTTCTATGTTTGAGTATATTGATGAGGACTATACTGACTCAGTACACTGCTCCTCATGGTAGTCTGCTAATCTGTGAATGTGGAAGCTCCTTCTACCTCTGGTTGCCCTTTGTAGTGTCCTTCTTCAGTGTAATTCTTATTGAAGCACTTTTCCTGCTGCTGACTTTGTTGTTGTTGTTGTTTTTGCTTTCCTTGGACCTTGAGTTGCATTGTCAAATTAGTTAGGGACTTCACCCCATTGAAAAAAATGGAAATTCATAGTCATGAATTTCCTTCTTAGTATTAATTCCCCTGTATCCCACAGGTACTGTTATGTTATTTGACTTCCAGTTTATTTGATCCTAGGAATGTTAAAATTTCTCCTGATTCTTTTGTGATCTACTGCTTATTCAAAAAGTCCGTTTTTCAGTTTCTATGTTTCTGGAGCTTCTTTAGTTTTTCGTACTGTTTATTTCTTGTTCCATTGTTATCTTTTCCCATGCATACAAGTGGCAGAACATTTATTCAGCCTTAAATGAAAGGAATTATGTCCCTTTTGTAAAACTAATGGATGATCATCATGTTAAGAGAAGTAAGCCAACTAAGATCACTTAAGGACTGTGTATTTCCTTTCATATGTGGGTCTTAAAAAAGAAAGGTGATCATCTGAAAGTCAAAGAGGGACAGATAAGTAACAGGGACAAAAGAGGGTAGTGGGAAGGTGGATATTACCAAAGCACATTGCACATGTGTTTGGAAATGTCACAGCAAAACTCATTAATGCCTGTTATAATAAAGGAAATGGCTCTTCAAGTTGACATGTAAGTGGAGTGTGGGAATGCAGTGTTCTTTACTGTGGCAGTCATTAAATGTTCTATGGTAAGCATTACTTTGTGGGGGAAATGTACCCTGCTGTGTGCTGATGGGAAGAATGATTCTTGAACCCAGTGATCTTCCTGTGCTGTCTCTGAGCACTGGACTTACAGGCATGCTCTGCCATTTGCAGTCTGAATCACTAACAGGAGTCTTTTGACCTTGTTTTTCATAATTACACTTCTTTGTCGAAATTGCTTTATCTGCTGTCATGGAAATATATTAACCAATTAAAAGATGCAACTACCCAAATTCTAAGAACACCGGAAGAGAAAGGTGAAAGTAACATACAGTAAACTAAAAAGGTTAAACATTAATGAAAGTAAAAAAGACCTGAAAAGAAAAAAAAAGGAATAACATAGTAGAAGAGAAAAAGAAAAAAGACCCAATTAAAAAGTAAAAAAGTAAGTTAATATGTTAGAAGGATAACAACAGCCCTGCCCTCCTTGCCAGAATACTTGGATTGGAAATAATTCCCTGTGGGCCTTCTAATACACCAGTCTACCAGGTGTGAAAGGCCAGTGAGTTTTGCTGAAACCAGTTGTCATTCCTCTCTGCTTCTGCCCTAACAATTTAGGTCAGTATCCAGGCTGCTCCCTGGCTGTTTCCTGCCACACAGGTTAATTAGTGGTGACTCTGAAGGTTTTTATATGTATATCAGAGGTGTGGCAAAAGTCTGCCTGCCAAGAGCCCTTATTGCATATGGAGCCTCACTGTGTGTGGAATGGCCAAACAAATACTCAGGCTGTGGTGTTTAGGAATGCTCCTTGACAGTGAAGGAAACAGTTGAAACAGTGAATTCTGTGAAACAGACTTGGCAGCCGGTCTCTGTGCTTTCAGACCCAGACCCTGGGGCATCTCCTTTCACTCCTCACAGAATGGGACTATCCACCACTGGGTCCCCCTTTCCCCTCTAAACCTCCCCACCCTCCCCACCTAAACCTCACAGTGTGCTTGTCATTGATATTCTATTAGCAACTGTGTTGTTCAGTGGTATCCCACCTTGTCACTGTTACATAAACCTTCTTAGGTCCCTGAGCTGTGATCAATCTCTGTTTTTGTTTGTTTGTTTGTTTTTGTTTTTTGTTTTTCCTTTAGAAGCAGTTTAGTTCCTAGAAATGGAACCTTTCTCAAAAACTGACTCCTAGTTGCAGTGTTTGCTGAGCTGAGCAGTCCGCATGATTTCCCTGGCCGTAGTAGGTTTTTAGGTATGTGTTAGGTACAAGTACTACACTGAGACCAGACTCTTGTTCTGCAGAAGCTTAGGTTTCTTAGGTAGTTAGGACTTCCAGTCTGCTGCTATCCCATGTGTTGCTGGGACTTTCACACTCACCTTCTTTTTTTTTTTTTTTTTGGTTTTTTGAGACAGGGTTTCTCTGTGGCTTTGGAGGCTGTCCTGGAACTCGCTTGGTAGTCCAGGCTGGTCTCGAACTCACAGATCCGCCTGCCTCTGCCTCCCCAGTGCTGGGATTAAAGGCGTGCGCCACCAACGCCCGGCCACACTCACCTTCTGATTGCAGCTTGCCGCATGGTGTTTTCCTCCCCGAAGAGGCTAGCTGAGGTTGAAATCCAGAACTGTTTTGTGCTTGTCTGAGGCCTTTCTGATTCCTGTTATTTTGCTTTATCTTCACTTTTGGTTGGTTCCCAGCATTCTTCTGGCTTTCAGTCCTGAATATCATTGCCCTGACTCTTCCTACTCAGACACTGGGAGGTAGGCCCCTCCATTCTGCCAGGGTTCTTCCTCTTCTTAGGATTTCTTTTAAAATTCAAATGATTCATTTTTATAGAAGCATAGCATCCTATTATCAGCATGTTTTCATGAAATTCTGCTCTAACTAAATGCCACGACGAGGTTAAGTAATGGTTCAGCACCCTTTCTAAAGGAATGTTTATTGCTTCCTCTCACAAACAGAGAACGAGAGCAAACTGAACTGGATGGGACCAGTGGTGTGGCTGAGATGGACCCAGGACCAGTTCTTGCTAATCCTTTCCAGCCCATAGCAGCAGTAGTCATGGAGGTATGGTGATGGGGAATGGTCTTCTGTGTATGTTTATCTTATTGGTTGTTGAATAAAACACTGTTGGCCAATAGGGAAGCAAGATAGATGGGACTAGGAGTCGAGGAGGATTCTGGGAAATGTAGTAAAGCGAAGTCACCAAGTGATCTAGGCAGGAAGTGACATAGCAGTTTACTTTGGGGCCTAGGGATATAGCATAGTGATAGAACAAATGCTCGTCTAATGTATCACAATCACTTTTTAAAAAATCATGTTTAATACAGTATAAAAAGAAAAATATGACTTCAAAATATACAGGAGTAAAAGTTGAATATTTCATAGTTACTGTTTTTGATAAAATCTGTTTTTACCATATTTTTGTAGTACTAACATTTGATTTTTTTGTATCAGGATTGATATTATTTTCTCATTGTGATAATGAAAAATATAATTTAATATTTATATTTTAAATTATATTATACTCATGCATATTACATATTGACATAAAGACTTAATGCAAAACATTCAAGCTATAAAACATAAAGAAAAAAACAGAATTTTTACATTTGAATTTAGAAGAATTACTATACAGAATTAAAGTATCCAATGAAAACTACAAACAAGGGACCTACCAGGAACGTTTTCTGCACACACTGTCAACATTTGCTTTTGGACTCCTAGGGAGGCTTTGCCATCCCTTTGAACCTTATCTTGGGCATGGGGATGGGGATGGAGTGGCTGGGATGGTTCTTTGTCACTCTCATAGTCTGAGATATTGCAGTCGTGATGATAGGGCTATGCCCAAGTCAACAACAGACATTCACTCAGGACTTCTCTCTCCCTAAAATGATACAGCCATTTAAAAAGTCTAATGTAACTGGGGGACTAGGGAGGGAGCTAATTCCCTTATCCACAAGCATGAGGACCTGAGTTCAGATCCCTAGAGGACTGGTTCCCTGCAGGTGTCAGACAGGAAATAGAACTGCTCTGCTCGGAGAGACGAGAGTGAAAACCTGGTGCAGATTGACATCATCAACCCGGATCAGACTTCTTTGGGGAGTCTAGTGTCAGGCAGTCCATTGTCAGCATATTTAAAATACAATACAATTTGGGGAAAGGTTTCCAGGCAACAATCAGTCCAATCCCAGGTGCACAAGGAAGCTTAAGGTGTGACTAGATAGAAACTTCTGTACAAAGTACATGTGATCAAGAGGGTGGGTTCCATAGTTAAAAGACTAGAATTTAGTGTAATCTCTGACCAAGATAGCATAGCGGTAGACAGGATAAAGTGCATGAGACATCTCCTCTAAGGGTGGGTAATGGTCTGGGGAGGGAAGAATCTGGTATAATCCTTCCGGGAAATTTGGGTGAGGTCTGCCTCCACTGATAGCCGAAAGGTCACCAGGTGTTAACAATATCCACCCCCACCTTCTGGGTGGGAAAACAGATATTTTATCTCCTCCACTGAGAAGAGGTCCCTGTGTGTTTAACAGTCCTGGTTTTCCTAGTGATCTGTGGGTACAAGGACCTTTGTGCCCCCAATACCTAGAACTATGTAAAAGGTGGGCATGGAGCAATGTGACTGTAATACAGGTTCTGGGAGACACAGACAGGTGATCTCTGTAGCTCGTCAGCCAGCCTGTCTAGCCATATTTTAAGCTTCAGATTTACTTAGAGACCCTATCTCAAGCCCCATACTGCCAGCCTCTATACTAACAAGTGTTTATACATGCATGTATGCATACATACATACCATAAACACAAATGGAAATTAGAGAGAATTACATTCATGTATGTTTGGTGGCGATGTGTGTCTACATGAGTGTGGGAGAGGCTGAGAAAACATACCATGGTTATAAATGGAAAAGTGGTCATCTCTAGATTATGAAACTAGTGGTGTTCTTTATTTTCCTTTAGACATCTGTCTGTAGTTAATATTTAGCAGTTCTTATGTTTTAATGATACATTCACAATTCATTGTGCAGCTTACAGTGATATTGATTCACTAAGGTGCTTACTTAGTATCTTCCTTGAAATGATCTTTAATGCCACCATTGTGATACAGATAAATATATTTCATTTTCATTAGAATGAAAAAAAGCAAGAAAAGGAGAAAAAGAAGCAGACTGCGGAGAAAGAGAGTGAGGGTTGCCTCCCAGAACAGAAAGCGGAGCAGGGCCAAGTAGAGTCACAGAGCCAGCCTAGTGGCTGCCACAAAAACGGTGACAGTGGAGTGGTAGAGAGTTCCAAGGAGGCCCCGTCACAGCAACTGGACAATGAAGATGAGCTAGAGCAGCGGTCCTCAGAATCAGGTGCTAAGTGTCATCGTTTCATACTTGCCATGCGCTTGATTTCATTTTCATCATGTTCACAAAGATGCTTCTGCAGTATCATACTTTTCATTTCTGTTTTGATTCTACCTGAAGTGAGATGATTCGTATTACATTTGCTCACTTTAAAATAATTGTTTTCTAGATATATTTGTATTCCTATAGCTTTGTAGGTTTCACAGATGTTGTTTATTGCTTACGTTACAGATAATTTTTGATTTAGAAAATGTATTGTTATATAATTGATATATTGCATGTATATTAGATACTTAAGAGTTCAGAATTTTTAGTTAAAATATTTTATAACTTTGTTCTAAATTCATTAAACATACTGTTCAATTTTGGTTTTATGTTATTAAAATGTATGCATTAATATAGAGATCCTTAATATGGTCTTGTGTGATTCTTTGAGAGCCTGTGTGGTTTCTGTTTTTGCTTTTTTAAGAATAGTAGATTCTGCTAGGTCTACCAATGTGATATTGGACATACGTTGTTTAAAGATTAACGGGTAATGTTTAGATTTGTTGGGCTCTTAGCCAAACTTTAGATGTTTATTTTTTAGAGTACGTGCCCTTAGAATCAACCATACTACATATCTCTCTTGAAGAGTATCACCATCTCTCCTCTTTTTGTAGACCTTCCAGAATTTTATGGAAAGTCCTACACTTAGACAATTATAATTGCTAACAATAACCTTGAGTTTGGAAGAAATGCTAGTTAATTTTGGAAATGAAGGCCTCACTTAGAAATTGGTTGTATATGTTTTATTCATTAATCATATACTTATTCCGTCAACCATTTAGAATATAGTCTTAGTATGTAAGTTCATACTTGGTTGTTGATAGTATATTCTCAAGTTGAGTATGGTCAGTGATTATGATAATAATACCAATAGTCTCATTTTATTCTTTGTTTTTTCATTATATAGAAGGTCACTTTTTCATGAATTAAAGTTCCATATGTATATTCTTACAGATAACAGTAAAAAGAAAACTAAGAAGCTAAGAATGAAAAGGAGTCATCGGGTAGAGCCAGTCAATACGGATGAGTCTGCTCCCAAGAGTCCCACACCTCCCCCGCCTCCTCCTCCAGGTGAGTGAGTCAAGTGAAAGAGACCCTGGGTATGGAAACCCTGCTGTCAGCTCGTAGCAGAAAAAGGAGAAGAAATTAGGAAGTTTGTAGTATTTTTTCATTATTTTGCCAGTTTGTGAGAAAGAACCCTTTACTGTCTGTGTGATGCAGCGTTTAACTTCTGTGTTAATAATTGTTAATTTCTGTGTTTTAAGAATGAAATGGTAAAGTGTATAAATATAACTTTACATAATAATCCCTAGAGCGTGATCATATTCTGTTTGAAATATCTATACCACACATTGCTGAAGGGAATTGAAGTTAATGGATTGGCAACTAGATTGGGATTTCAAATGCTAGATTGTTAATCTTTTATCCTAAAAGTTATGTAAATGTGTGTGCGAGTTTTCTTAATCTTAATGCAACATGAATATCCACCTCCTAAGAAGTTGCAGAAGTCAATGCATGTAATGCTGTGGGACACTACTACACCAGGCTGTAAGAACCGTCAGCACTGAGCATAGTGTCCCACTTCTCACAGGTGCTGGTAAATATTTGAGTGAAAGAAAAGGTGCGTTCACAATTCCCTTCTAGCCTTGGTGACAAAGCTTTAAATGGTAAAGTTCTTCATTATAAATTTTGTAAAAGATTCATTTCTAGTATTATCTTTTAACAAAATAGTTCTCTTAGCCTCTGCTAGGTGTTATAATGGTAGCCAGTAGTTTATTTGTGATGATACTAAGAGGTGTGAAGTTTTAGTTAAATGTGTGTTAAGAGCTAAATATAACTAACATGTAATATAGTATAGTATAATATGCTAAATAATAACATAGTGAATAGAAGCTAGTTAAAAATGTATCTGTTCAGAATTGTGTCACTATATATTCCAACTGACAAAGAATGTTAAGTACATTTCCTGTCAAGGGAGGAAAGTACCTTAACAAGTATTCATTTAACAGAGCTTCTAAATCTTTTTCTTTTCCTTTAGTTGGCTGGGGAACCCCCAAAGTCACTAGACTTCCAAAACTTGAGCCTCTTGGTGAAACACGTCATAATGGTAATGCAAAAGGATGAGTTTTCAAATACCATCTGTGCATGCTACATCCGCTTTTCTTCATCTTATAACTTCACATTTTCAGTATTTTATTTTTGGTAGCTTTCAGATCCACTACCATCATTTTCATTATGCTTTTAACTTTCATTTTGCTGTATTTTTATATTTTAAATGCACCTTGCAATTATATAATTTGAGTTTTTAAATCTTAATACAAATATATGAAGACTCATTCTTGTGTTTATTCATGATAAACCTTAGAGAAACTATTATGAGATGAGAAAAATTTCCCAGCAACTGAAATATGAGCTATTACAGTATCAGTTACTGTGCTAGGAAACTGTCATGCCCTGCCTGTGTTCAGGGCACTGTGTGATAATGAACATAATTGCTCTCTCTACTCATAGTAAGATTTCTAGTTACTATACATTAAAATGAATTCAAGATCAACACAATGCATAAAATGAGAGATCAGATTAATAAACCAAATACAGAAAGTATCTTGAAGGCTTTATTGAATCAAGAAAACAATTTTCCTTGATGAAATGGTAATAGCTGTAATCCAGCCAGTGCATTGCCTTAAAACTCCAAGAAGTAAAGCCTAGGAAAAGACAGTTAGGCCTCAGAGGCAGAAGTCATTCCTTACCAGAAGACTAGGTTTTCATATTGACCTCAGAATGCAAAAGAGTAAGTCTAAGTGGAGCTCCATATACTTGTTCTTTTAAGAGCATCCAATGTACATTTTGTATGAACCCAATAGAACTATGTTTCCTGAAAGGATCACTTCAGAGGAAAAGACATTGAATCTTTAGTAAAAGCAATACCTTAAAGTCTGCATCTGTCAAACAGAAACATACTATTAGTCAACCCTGCTTCTTGCTTTTGTTTTCAGGATACTGTATAGGTCCCTAATGGTTTCTATTTAATCATTAGGGAAAATTAGAAAATCATATTGATAGGTGAGTTTACTTTTAGACTTCCTGACAAGGTAGTTCCAGTAGAATTACATATTTCTATTTTATTTACTGATTTTTACACTGTAATATTTTTATTGATAATAATAGGTTAAATCCTGTTTTATTATTAACCTGAGTTTACTCATAAAAGGATGTTATCAATTTAAATACTCAGTTTTATAAAATAGTGCTTGTTAATTTATATATACATATACATACATAGAAAAATAATTTCTCACAAGAGCAGAGAGCTTGCATTGGCAACTTAATGACATGCCATCAGACAGGAAGCAGAGAGGGCTCTCTCTAGGATAGATCAGGGGTGGACTGCAGAAGCTGCCCCTATGGTGCTAAAACAGTGTCATTAGCTGGGGTCCAAGTACTCACACGCGTGCACATGTAGTAACGGTTTAGAATCAACACATAACCTGTCTTCTTCTAGACCCTAGTATTTCATGTCCACCTCATAGTGCAGATACAGTCAGTCTGATTTGAGCAGTCTCTGTAGTCTGCCCAGTCCCAACACTATTCAGAATTCCAAAGTTCAAAGTTTCTTCTGAAATAAAAGTCTCTCAGTTGTGAGCTCTCTAAAATAAAAGACAGTTATGTACTTCCACTAGAGAATAGCAGAGAATAAACATTCCCTTCCCCTAAGGGAGGAACAGAATGGCTAGGGAAGGATGGGTCTGCAGCAAGATTGAGGCCTAGTGGGGAAAACATTAAATCCTGTGTTCCGTGTACAGCATAGAGGCCATGGTGGCATCTTAAGCTCCCTTGGTCTTGTCTGTCCTGCACCTGTGACTTTGTCATTTGCAGCACACATGGCCTTTCTCTTGAGGAAGCTTCCCAGGGCCTGTGGTTTTGACAGACACGCATGTTGTGGTGATCCCAGTGTAGCAGCCTAAGGCTTCACCTTCACGACTTCATGGCTCCCACTGTCAGAGATTCTCCTCAGAGAATCCAGTCTCCTCAGAGAATCTGTTATTGCCAAACATGCCCTTGCCTCAGGCTGCTCTCTGTACCTCCTGCAGACGTCTCCACGATCCTGTAACTCTTGCATTGTGTATGCCCCCCAAACCATCACCACATGGACAGCTACTAGTTCTGTTCCCAGCTGAAGATAAAGCGAAACTCCCATGGCCTGTGGCTGCAACACTCTGCCTCCCCATGGCTACAAGATGTTTCTCTGGGTGTCTTTTTCCTAGTAGCTCACCTTTTCTGCTCTCTGTAAAAGCAATTCCTCCAAGTGAGTTTGTACTTTTATATTCTAGGAGCTTCTCTGGAGCTATAGCCTCCAACTTACCTTTTCTGTTGTTGTAGTGCAGTGTTAGAAGTATGTAGCATCTCTTTCCTGGTCCTAATCCCTTGAGCAAGCAGGCCTATAGTATCTGCACGTGGAAATGTGCTCTTTTCCTTTTCCAGGCCAAACTGCTGCTTTCTGTTCCACTCTTAGCTCTCTGTTCTCAAATACAGTGGCTGAAAGCATCTAGCAATAACTATGCCACAGCCTGAATGTTAAACAGCACATAAAATAGTCTGTTACTGTTGGATTCAGAATGACTATGTGGCTACATTCTTTGTGTAATGGCCTCTTACCCACTCCCAGTAGAGTACTTGTTCCCATGTGGACCCTCATGTACACAGCCTTCACTGCATGTATCTCTGTTGGTCTGATCTTCTAGACTTCTAGAAGAATTTCCATTGCTCTTTACATATAGCATCCTAGGGCTTCTCTAGACAATAAGTTCTCCTACATTCATCCTGAAAACTGCCTATAAAAGACTTAAGAACTACGTAACAATATTCATCACAGGAAGGACTCTATTCTGTTATTAATTTATTGTAGCTTTCACAGCCTTCAAAACAGCAGCTCTACCATTTCAGGACTACTGTGCTGAAACACATGAGCTGGGAAGGGGGAGGGCGATCATGTCAGACCCAAACAATAACAGTTCATATTTTTTATTTGACACTAAATATATGTTATATCACGATGAAAAAGACATGTACTTTACCTGATTTAATGGAAAAATAGTCCTCCAATCTGCTCTAGTATCTGACAATAGTTCTTTAGTGGAGAATTGGAGTGCTATTCAGAAACTCCATAGGCAGTTATTAGAAAGTGGTATGAGAACTAGGTGGTCAAATAAGAAAAACCAGTAAACAGGATCCAAAAGTAAGTATACCTGCAATCGTAGCACCACTGAAGGCTGAAGCAAGAGGATTGGTAGTTCAGGCCAGCCCAGGCTATATAAGTCTATCTGAAAAAGAAAAGTCAGACAGCAGCAACAAAACCTGTACTCTGAAGGCATGAACTTACATGGTGGTTAAGAGAGGACATTTTAAATTATAGAAAATAAAATTCTGGCCTTGGGCTAAATGGTGAAGACCCTATATATTAAAATATAAAGGCTTACTAGTAATTTTTCAAGAGGCAATGTTCATCTTAATGCATGGGCGTTTTGGTAGATTTAATGTTCAAAGAAATAATAAAAATTACTTAATGTGTATGAGTTTTTTTTTTTTTTTTTTTTTTTTGGTTTTACGAGACAGGGTTTCTCTGTTTTTGGAGGCTGTCGGTCCAGCCTGGCCTCGAACTCACAGAGATCCACCTGTCTCTGCCTCCCGAGTGCTGGGATTAAAGGTGCGCCACCAACGCCCGGCGTGTATGAGTGTTTTACCTGACTGTATGTCTGTGTGTCCTATGTGTGCCTGGTACCTGCAGAGGCCGGAAGAGGGCATCAGATCCTGTGGAACTGGCATTACAGATGTATGTCGGCCATCTTTTGGGTGCTGGGAACTAAACCCAGATCCTCCGGAAGAGCAGCCAGTGCTCTTAACCTCAGAGCCATCTCCCCAGACCCTCTTCTTTTTTATTAGTTTTGAACACATTTCTTTCCCATTATATACAAAAACTGGACAAAAGACTAATGATAAATACATAATAGACATAGAATGAGCTAGTGGATAATAAAAAAAACCACCTGTGCATGGTTTGTGATTTTAAACTTTACTGACTTGAACCAAAATGGCCATTATCAGGTAGACAGCAGCTTATAGGAGATTCTTACTCTGATTATGGGCATTTGCTTTGGTAACAGCTTGATTGTTTCTATAATCAATTTTATTGCCTACAAAACTTTCTCTGTGTAACAGGTAGGACAGAAGCATTCAGAGAGACATAAAATGAGACTCTGTTTTTATTGTGTGAACACCTTTCAATCTGTATTTCTTCAATGTGTTATATATTCTACATTATGAAAAATGAATCAAAGTTTCTGGTAGTCAAAAATACCAGCTATAGAAATTAAAGAGTATTGTAAAGGCTTAAAATTATGAACAAAGTTAAACATGTTTGTATCCTTTTATTGCTTTCCAAATTTCATCTTTAAAATGTATGAAAAGCACTATGAAAATGGTTAGGGAATTAAAATAGTGTATCTTACAGAATGATTCAGTTTCTTGTAAGGAAGTGGCACAGAACCCACTACAGTAGTATATTAATTTCTTGGAAGACAAAAAAGACATTCTACATACATGCATTTGGTCTTTTAATAAAAATATTAAATAAAAAAAATTCATCAAAGTAATTGGCTATCTCTCATAATTTTTATCATAACAATAATAGCAGGTAATAGGTATCTACCATTGTGTTTGGCAATTTCAGTCCTTCCAGATTGCCTAGTAAAAGGGGCAGGAAAACCACCTTAGGCAAGAGCCAAAGCTTTTATGCCACTGGCCTACAGAATCAAGATTTGAACTTAGGTCTGCCTGTCTTTGAAACCCATACTTAAGTCTTTATGTTTATGCTATTACATTAATATTTGTAAGACATCTTTGAAGCTTAATTTTTGGTTTTGATTTTCAGTTGCTTTGAAAATATTTCCCCTCGTACATTGCCAATATATTTATTTTGAGCACTCCCCTGTGCTTCTAAAATAATTTTAAGGTAAAAGACTTGAAAATAATTTATGATTACTTAAATGTGGCATTAGGTTTATAATTTAATTTGTGGCAAAGTGAGAAATAGAAATTTGAGATGGTGAGTCAGCTTTATTGGTAAAGGTACTTTATGCTGCCAAGCCAAAAGACCCGAGTTCGATCTCCAGGACCAACATACTTGATGGAGAGACCCAACTCCCACACGTTGTTCATACACAAACATCAGAATAAATAAATGTAATATTTTTAAAAAGAATGGAAATGAGCTGGATACTAGTGCACAGCCAGGGCTACACAGTGAAACCCTGTCTTGGAAAAAAACAAGCAAACAAAGAATATAATTGTACTATAAATGGAAAGGTTGAGGGCCTGGAAATATGGCTCAATAATAGAATGCTTACCAAGCATGCACGAGGCTCTGGATTCAGTTCCCAGTAATTCACTCAAAAAGAAAGACCATTTTGTACTATATAGTTACCAAACCACAGAATTATAGTAGTATCAGGTAAAGGAGGCTAGTTTGCTTCTAAAATGCCTAGACATCATGATCATTAGAAAGAAACATAGTGAATACAAATAGTGACTGACCAGGGGCTTAGAAGAAGATGGTGTAGATTCTCAGTATTTTGTTTTGTTTTCTAATGTGAATTGTAATTTAAAAAAAAAAAGTCTATTCGGTACATTTTACCAGTCATTTAGAAGTTACCCAGGTTATATTTTGAATTCATTCAAACATTTTCTTGGATTTTTGTTTGTTTCTGTTTTCTGTCTTGCCCACCTATCTATCCACTCACTTGAAAATTTCCTACATCTGAATCTTTTAAAGATGTTGGCTGGAAAACAATTAGCTGTGACAAACTTGGTTACCATACTGTTTCATGTTTCCCATTTCCCTTCTTTATGCAGATTTCTATGGGAAGCCATTGCCTCCCCTGGCAGTGCGACAGAGACCTAACGGCGATGCTCCAGACATGATCTCATAACCAAGTCAGATGGGTTGGTCCTTTTAATATCAGCAAAGTGAACTGAGACCTGTCCCAAAAGTAGAAAAGTCCTGGACACATTTACTTCTCCATGTTCTGTGGCTAAAGCAGAAAGGAAACAAAAGGACCAGTAGCTGACAAGAGCATTTGGTCACGGTAGCAAGATGATTCTTTGGTTTACACGTGCCTACTTTGGACATTCTCCCTAAGGAAAACCTCCTCAGAAATGGAGCCAATGGACTCTACATACCTGATTATTTAATAGTCTGTATTTCTATGCATTAAACATGTTTTATAAGGTACATGTACATGAAAAGGGAATCCTGGAAATTTATAACCTAAATTTTAACTATTTTTATATTTTTTTCTAAAGCTTTTGATTGAGTTTGCTATTATATTGATTGTGCACTTTTCTACAGATGCTTGCTTTAAACTGTCTGGATAGAAAGTTGATTTACATGAAGTGTACAAGCAGGATGTGTTTAAATGGCTTGAGGTATGTTTTGTGATAAACATAAACATTGTGCTTTAAAATGTACACCCTATTTTGACATAATTTTAAAATAGCAGCTATTTTAATAAGCAAGTTTTCAGATCTTTAGTTGTACCCAGTTACATGATTTCCAAGTATTAACGGAGGGGAGAATTCAGTTCTGTTGTCGCTGTTTGTTTTCTTTGGTGATGATCCCAATAAATGTCAAGAAACATGAAATAACTTTAAAAATCATAAGCTTGTTTAAATTAGTAAAAAATGTATCCTATGAGACATTATTCAAAGCCCTACAAGTCCCAACTGAAGGATGGGACACTTTTAGAGCTCAGGTGCCCTCTGTATGCCTTTCACCTGTGAGGAGCTGCACTAACTGGGTTGTTTCCATTCTTCCATGCCTTGAACTTGAAGGTAAGAAGACTGCAAAGGCTGCTGCATGTCTAGAGACTTCAGTTTTACAGCAAAACAGCCATTCAAATGAAAATGGTGGCTCAGATCCCATGATAAATTCTAATTGTAACATGACTTCTTAATTTGAAATGATAGCCCTTGTGTTGCTCTTGAATGTCCTTCATAAGGCTCTCTGCTCATCTGTCCTTTACCAGAACTACTAGAGATATATTTAGTAATAGATTAATAATGTAGTATTCAATTGAAACCATGTCTTTAAGTCAAGGTGAAGATTACAAAGAACAAGTCCCATGTCACTTTGTTAAGATTGGTATCTTGTATGGCCATAGACATATACTGGTTTCTGAATGTAAGTCCAGCTAAGGTAGACTGATATGATTATTTGTCTGTTAATTGTTTATAATGGTTTATAATGCATTGTGTTCACATTTTAGCTTACTGAACCTGGATCGATCAGGTCATGTTGTTCTATTGAGCACTAGTGGTGTTTCTGTGAGTTTGTGCATCTACCTTGCACACTGAGGGAAAAGCATGTTAATTCTATGCAAACCTATATGCAGAATTAGTAGGTGTCTCAGATATGACAGATCACAGGAGCATAGGAGGCAAAATCTGAACTGATTCTAGAGGGAAAAGGCTCATCCTTTTGATTAATTTTGTAATATTTAAATTCCCTTTTAAAATTAGACACAATTTGCTATCTTTTAACATTCATCTGCTTTGAGAATAAAGATTTTTTAGAAAAAATTATTGCTTTCTACCACTGTTTACTGTAGAGTACAGTAATTACTATTTCATAAAACAATTTTGAAATTGAATGTAACATAATCTGGAATATGTTTTCTTAAAGCAGTGTAAAAATCCTTTAAAAGATGTTTTGTAAATCCTATCGGATTTTAACACTTTTATGCTTATTTTGTTATATTATACATTATCATTCTTATTCATCATGGATTATAACACATCACAATAAAAAATTATTTAAACAGTCTCTTTTCCTTTCTGGTTTTAAATGATTTTATTTAGCTAAACTTTTTTTTTAAACATCATCACTGGGGAAAGAGTTAAATTGGTGGATTAAAGTAACTTTTTATATGAAAACTAAAGATCTGAGAAACAACATTGTGTGTGTATGTGTGAGAGAGAGAGAGAGAGAGAGAGAGAGAGAGAGAGAGAGAGAGAGAGAGAGAGACTGGTACCTGCAGAGACCAGAAGAAGGTGCTGAATCCCGTGGAACTGGAGTTACAGATGATGGTGAGCTGCCATGTTAGCACTGGGACTCAAACCCAGGAGCTCTAGAAGAGCAACCAATGTTCTTAACTGCAGGTTGATGCTGCCTCTGCGGCCCCATGCCATGTTTTCTTCAAGCAGAAAATTAAACACTATTTGAATTAATGTTTAGAATTTACCAAAACTCTTGAGTAGCTTAGAAAAGTTCACCTATAAAAAACACAATTGAATGTTTTACTTTACTAAGTGTTCTCCAGCTGAAAATGTTTTGGGATCTGGAGTGATCGCTACGAGGCTCAGAGCACCTGCTGTCTGGCCAAAGACCCTGTATTCTGTTCTCAGCATCCACACTGGTAGTTCATCCCTTTGAACTGCAGCTGTAACTTTTACTGCAGTACATCTAAAGGCCTCTGTGCTTCCTAGGGCCTTTGCATTGCCATGCACGCTTCCCCTCAACCCATAATAAAAATCTTCAAACATTATTGAGGTTATTCATTTCCCCATCCCAAGTAAAGAAATCCATGCTTCTGGTAAAGGTTTTCAAAAGTTGAAACTGCTTAGATACATATACAGTAGCTTATAGGTCTTATAACCGCTTGTTAGTATTCAGGCATCTGTACTGGCCTGTTCTTGGGGTTCTGACAGGATACACCCTCAGCTGCAGCCACTAAGAGCACCGCCTGTGCACATTCACTACTGCCTGTAGAGAGAAGCCTTTTTCTTGTCTGCTGCTTTAGGTTTTTTCCCTACCAGTCGCCCGTTGTAGTCCCCAAATAACACACAAGACACTGTATTAATTATGAAGCTGTTGACCATTTGCTTGTTTCTTACTGGCTAGCTCTGACTTAAGTATTTATCCCATAATTGTTAATCTAAGTATTTCTCTTACTGGAGAAAAGTTTCCGGGCTTCTTACCCCTATGGCGGTTACATCTTGACTCCCAGTGTTTGTCCTACCCAGAGTCCTCCACACCTGCCCACCTCCCATCCTGTCTTTCTCTGCCTCTATCTATCTGTTCCTCCCCCACTCTTCCTCCCTCCCTTTATCTCCCCCCTCCTCAAGACCCCCTTCCTCTTCCTTCCCTCCTTCCCTCCCTCTTACCTCTCTTTTCCCCAGAGGCTGGCTTCCCCCTCCCCTTTTGTTATCCTCTTTTTCTAATTAATGAAAAAGAAAAAAAAAACTTCTGCTTCAACCCTGTCAAATAGTGTCTTTCTCTCTTGATGGCTGCTTTTTAAAATTACAATCCTGCTGGCTTTTAATACCTGCTTTTGTCTGAATATAGGATACTTTATAAGTGATGTTCTGCAGATACTCATTTATTGGGAAGTATGTATCATCGGATCCAGAGAATAAATTCAGACAGTGCAGGTCTTAAAGTGTGGCAGAGATGATGAAAATAGTAATAATCCTTTGTTTTGTAGAAATAGAAATGAAGCTTGTTCCTTTCCAGAAACAACAGGGAAAAAAGTAGGAAAGGAGAAATGGATTTCCTTTAATTAGTGGGTCAACTTTATAACTAAAGGGCAAACAGGATATAAGTCATCAGTTGTCAAGTTCCACTTATGTACTAATGACAAACAGTGTACAACAGCGAATTAACCAGTGGTTCCCCAAATTTTTATTTCATATTTTATCAAAGAACATTTGTATATTTTTCTATGCCTGTTGTTACTGTTTGGCCAGGGTTAATGTAACTAAGCACCACCATCTTAGTGAGTTAAACATTCCTGAAGGCTGAAAGTGTAAGGCCTAAGAGCCAGCAAGACTGGCTTTTCCAAAGGCTTCTTACCTCAGTATCAGGTTATTGTTTCCCCACTCCGTTGTCCCTAGTGTGTCGCAGTGTACCCATTTCAAAAACTGTCACTTATGCTGGATTAGGGCTCATCCTCACAACACCATTTTAACCCTATCACCCCTTTTTAAAGGCAGTCCCAACCTAAGATACTGAGGACTAAAAGTGAGCCAAGCCAGGCGTAGTGGTGCATGCCTTTAGTCCCAGCACTCAGGTAGGTGGATCTCTGAGTTCATAGCCAGCCTGGTCTATGGAGTGAGTTCCAAGACAGCTAGGGCTATCCGGAGAGACCCTGTCTTCAAAAACCAAACAAAAGGAAAAAAAAAAAAGAAACTTCAGTATCAAAGTATTAGAACAACAAATTTAATCCCTCATACATATATATATATACTTACCTGTACAACATATATCTTACGCCTCCCACAAAAACAAAAACCAAAACAAAAACCCTAAAAAGGGATAAAAATAGAGGTTATATTTGCCTGATCACACAGTGGATTGTGTGCTTGGGTTTCTATCCAGTACTTGGATCTCCAGAGTAATAGAGTCGCACCTGAAAGTCTATGGCTACATGGACTATGTCTCTAGTATTGATTGCAGGTACTTCTATGTTTTTCGCCAGTTTGCTTTAAGCAACAAAAAGCTCTCACAACGTCTGACTAGTTTTACTACCCAGTGGATCTTTACCTTTTTGGCAACATAAACAAGAAGAGTTTGAGATATGGTTTGTATAAATACAATTCATAAAATTGTTAGAAATAGACTATAAAGTGTATCCAAAAGCTCTCCTTACATCAAATGATTGAATGATAAAAATGCTTAGATTAAAAAAAATTCTTACATAGAGGTGTTACTAATCTTTTAATTTGTTAACCAACCAAGTCTGAAACTATATAGAAAGAAAAAAAAAAAACTAATGGGGCTGGGATGTAGTTCATTTTAGCATTCACGAAACTATGAGTTCAGTCCCCAGAAACCATATAAACTAGGCATAAAAGCATACCACACATAGCCTCAGAACCTTCGAGTTGGAAGCAGGGGGATCAATTGAGGTCATCCTTCTGTACTTGGTGATTTCAAGGTCAGTTTGAGCCAGATGAGGCATTACCATAAAACAATATTAACAAAGAAGCACAAGTAAACTCTCATCTATGTTTTCAGTAGTTCAAAGGAAGTCTAATAGATCTGACCTTTCCAAGTTTAACTGCCTAGTATGAGTCTATTTTCTAGGTCTACTTTATAAATATGATGTTAGTATATTAATTCAGTGGCTGACACATTTTATAATGAACATAGAAAATACACCAAATCTCTCTACATATAGCAGCCAAAAGGCAGATGAATTACTTGTCCCCAAATATACAACAGGTGGGAGCTGTACTCGGGATTTCAATGCACTATTTAACACTTCCCATTCTAGGGATGCTTTGTCTCCAGCAATCCTAAGGAAAAGCACGACCTCATCCTTTTACCGACCGCTTTCCTCCAAGTGGAGCTCAGACTTGTAAATGAGTATGCCTCAGGTGATAAAACACTGGCAGCCCAATAACGACAAAGGTCTTTTCTCGACCCCACAGACACAGACTGTAAACCAGACAGCCTGGTTCGCTCCTGAGCTCTGCGCAAGCGCCATCGCCTTTCGGGCAGGTAGAGCGCTTGGCCCCGGGTCTCGCGGGACCTGTGCCTCCTGCGAGATTTTGGTCCTTGAAAGCGCCATCTCGCGACAACGGAAACAGGAACTGAGACCACCCGTGACCTCGTGGCGGATCCCGGAAGTGTGGCGTCTCTCCTTGTTTTCCGACGGCGGCAGTCGGCTGGCCCAGGCGCGACCATGCTGACTCGGGTGAGGCCCCGGGCGGTGCAGCGCCTGGGACTGACGCCGCGGAGAGCCGGGGCGGACTGGGATGGATGGGGGTCGCTCCGCCCGGGGCCCGGGGCCCTAACCCTGCCGGCTTGCTCGGCCCTCGGTGCTCTGGGGTGAATAAGCGGAGCCGGGGAGTTAGGGCGACGTTTGTTCCCGTAAATGAACCCTATCGTGGAGTGATGTTATGTTTACGGAGACGTAGCCGCGGCTAGAGATCTCCAGTGTTAGGACTTGTGAGCCTTCTGAGATGCCCTCAGCATAGATCCACTGACCCGGGCCTCACCCTGGGGAGAAACGTCGTTTTCATGCATCGGTAGCATAGCAGTAATATCGCGTGACAAGTGAGGTGTTGCTTCCGTGGTGTTTTAAACCGTTCTCTAACAGCAGGAAGCCTCCCTCTTAGCCAAGGAGCTTTTGGCAGTAGCTGGCCTTTGCTGCCGTGGGGTTCCACATATCCACGTATGTAATGACAGGGACAGTAGGTTTCCAGTGAAACTTATTTACAGGGGAGTCTTGGAGAAGTGTCTGGGCGTGGTTATTATCAAAATACATTGTATACATGTATGAAATGCTCAGCGAATAAATACAGATGTGAAGAAAAAAAATGAACGTCACGTTAATGGCAAATTTCAATAAACTTGTAAAATCACAATGTGTCGTTTGCAACTTTTTCTTGTCGTCGTAGCTGAAAGCAAATTCAGAGGGGAAGCTTGCAAAACAGATATGCAGAGTTGTGTTGGACCACTTTGACAAACAGTATTCCAAAGAGCTTGGGGAGTCCTGGAATACAGTAAGGTTAGTGTAACTGATCTCTTGGTATTTTGTGACAAAACAGTGAAGGTATGTAGTGTAACTCTTCGGTGACAGTGGCACCGTAAAGATGAAAGTTTGGTACATTTTGGGAGGAAGGGTACAGTAAGAACACAGGTGAAAGCCGGGCAGTGGTGGCGCACGCCTTTAATCCCAGCACTCTGGAGTCAGAGGCAGGCGGATCTCTGTGAGTTTGAGACCAGCCTGGACTACCAAGTGAGTTCCAAGACAGCCTCCAAAGCCACAGAGAAACCCTGTCTCGAAAAACCAAAAAAAAAAAAAAAAAAAGAACACAGGCGAAGGAGTCACCTAGCTGCCCTCTCCTTGAGCTGTAGAAATGTGGCACAAATGGTTTAAAAACAAAAAAAAGGTGGGGGGGGGGACATAGTGATAGTAAAAATGAACAAAATAGAGAAATGCACTGCATCTTAAAACGACGCTATAACAGAAATCCTAACTTTGAAGACATTTAACTTTGAAATTCGGGAAATAACAAATCCTTAAAGTCAGTGAACCTTTCTCTTAGCTAAAGTCATACTTTATTTGGCAGTCATAGTCTCCGTTGTTTCTGTATTTGGAATACATGGACACATGGACAAATCTAAATGTGTTTTTAAAAAATAAGCATATAATGCAGAAAAGTAACCAGTGGGCCTATGTGATGCCATTTTTCAATTGGTGGGTACAGAGGGCACTTGACATCAAGGCTGTCAACCAGAGTGGGAACTACATTGTAATTTGTCCTCTGACCTTCATGCTCAGTCGTATTCCATGTCAGTGAAATAAATTCAGTAATTTTTTTTAAAGAGACAAATACGGTTTGTGTGTTTAGTGAGTTTGTGCTCTTGATCAGAATGGTAGTGGATGGGGTTTTGTATGGTGTGCCTGAGATAGATATATATATATATATATATATATATATATATATATATATGTATATATATATGTATATATCATGTATATATATGATACCCCCTGGAATACAAAGAACAGTTTCGTCTTGTCTAGTTTACATGCAATCCATTCATGGGAGAAGTAAATGGGAGAGGCATGATAAACATTCCAGAAACATGGAACAAGAATGGTATACTTGATTTATTGAATGTGTGGGTGCCAGTAAAAGCCACTGGGGACTTTGGGACTAACTTGGTAAAAGGCACCAGACAATAAGGGCTGAGCGGAGATTGCATAGTCTTTTTTTTTTTTTTTTTGCGAAGTAAAGAGGAAAAAGTGGTATGACTGTAGATATTCTGAAACTTAGCTCAGACAGCAATTTCTCAATGTTTTGTATCATTTTTTCTTAGATTAACTTAATTCAGGTAGCAATTTTTCATGATTGTTTTATATCATCCCTTCTTAGATTAACTTAATATTTCTCCTTTTCACAGAACTGCATTTAGATATTTTGAGACAAAGATTAAGTCTTATGAATAAAGATGATAAAATATGAAGTGGTTTAAAGATGATTTTAGGATGTTAAGATATTTAGGAAACTTATAAATATGGAAATGCAGAAATGCAGCAGTTATTTCAATAATGCTACAGTTCATAATGAGTCTTCAATCAAAACGGAGTAGTGAAGTATATAATGAATTCATGAGGTTTTTAGTATGTAAAGGTATTCATATAGACTACCTAAAGAACCACCTTGCATGAATATTGTATGGAAACAATACCTACTTAAATACTCCTGAGAACAAACTTGAGGTTCGTTTGCAGTGTTTCTGAGGCTATAGCATGGAATTAAAGAAATATGCCTAAATTCATTCAGCTGGTTGGTAAGTAGCGGTGGGTCTTTTGCCCAGTCTGTCTCCACCCAAAAGCTCCCATGACTGACAGTTCTGTCTCAAACCTGGGATACAATTAGCATTCTTGGATGATTTAAAACAAAAGATTGTGAGAAGTATTTTGTCTAGAGACTTTTTAGTAACTGGCTATTCATAATCTGTAATGAGTTGATTTTCTACTTCGTCTAGCCAGAAAGACTTATAAATTACTATTTGACCCTGAACAAAATGAGCGGTGAACCTCAAAGCCATTTAATTAGTGGTGCCTTCTGCTCCATCCACCCTTTTGGTAGGATTTCATGGTAACTTAAGTTTTGCATAAACATGTACTAAATTTGCCATAGGCGAAATGAAAGCTTTTTTAGAAAGGCTGACCGTGGAAGATAGCACAGGGAAGTAACAGAATTGCATGTTTGCTTTGTGACTATCTGCAACATAATGGACTGTATGCAAGCATTCTTACTTTCAGTACTGTCCTCTCCCTCCCTCACTTGTCAAGTGTCTGTAGCAATGGGGAAGGCTTTTTTTCCAGGTTTCCATAGTTCAGTGTTTGCTGTACTTGCTTCCAGCTTGTTGCCTTCAAGAAGTTCATTCAGAACAGAGCAGAACTTCTCACACTGGGAAGTTCTTTTTCAGATTCAGTGTGTTACGTGTGTTTCCTGGCAATTCCTCTTAGTTACCCTGGTCAGCATGGTCACATGGATGTCATCGTTCTCTTGTATGTTGCTTTGAGGATTTATGTAGATTTACTCCTTTGGAGGCCTTGCTGTCAATCTTGTCTTACTGCATTAAACCCTTTGTATCTTTGTAATAAAGAAGTTGATTGGGAAGTGAGTGTTGTTTTCTCTCAGCTCCAGAGAGGTGACCTCTAAGTCCTTGAAATGTACTCATACTGCCCTGTGAAGAGTGAGATGTTTGCCTGGGGGCTTGTACCGCACCTGCTAGTCTAACAATGTGATTTACAGAGAGGGTTGTAGACCATAGATAAGGAAACAACATCCAGGGGGTTTGGTGTCTAAAGTTGGGTGTGAAGACTGTCAGTTAAGTTTCCATGACAGAATCTCCAAAAGAAGCTGAGTACCTAAGTTTTTGTGAGCATCCTTGGTTGGCAGTGTTACCCCACATTGCTGTCTGGAAAAGCTAGACCTCTGTGGCAGGTTGCAACCGCCATTATCTCACAACTTCTGTATTTGTTTTTGCTTACTTTAGTCTGCATTGTAATGGTGCTGTGTTCCATTGTGGCACTCTCATCATTTTAAACTAACACCAGTTCTCTGAGAGAGGTCAAATAACATGGGAAGGCAGACATGCCATGTATTTGGAGAGGGCTTGTGGATTGTTATTTATATTAATTTATTTGGTTTTTCAAGACAGACTTTTTCTGTGTAAACCAGGCTGGCCTTGAACTCACAGAGATACGCCGGCCTCTGCCTCCTGAGTGCTGGAATTAAAGGCGGGCACCACCACAGTCCAGTCACTCTGTCATGCTGCTTCCAGTGCTGCCATACTCCATTGTGTCACCCTGCCCTCAGACCCTCTTTATGCCTTCACTGTGTGCAGGGTTACATTTGAACCAAAACTAGTAGTGACGAGGCTCTTCTGGGCATTTGGTACTGGATATGCTGCCCTTCCCTCTGCAGGAATACCCTTCCTTCCTTCTAGTGATTAGGAGTATGGGTTCAAAGCTCTCAGCGTTTTAAACGTACAATTTGATGAGTTATTGAAAATCTGTGCCACAAGGTCCAGATCTGTAAGACAAGCAAAATAATACCCATTCCATGTAGTTATTTCAGAAGAGAAAATGAATTCTCCTAAATAAAAACACAGTTGGTTCTCAACCTTCCTAATGTTGTGACTCCTTAATACTGAATACAGTTCCCTGTGTTGTGGTGATCCCCAACCGTAGAGTTATTTTCGTTGCTCCTTCATAAGTGTAATTTTGCTACTGTTATGAATCGTGACGTAAATATATGTGTTTTGCGACAGTCTCAGGCGGCCCCTGGGAATCATTACCAGGAAAAGGTGACAAGTATTCTTCAGCCCCTGTTAATATCTGAAGAGTGAAGAGGAAATGCCTTGGAAACAACTTCAAATGTTTCCATGAGTCCTGCATGAGTCCTGTATTTCTGAGGCCACTCCTCCAAGTAATCTAGTGAACACCCTCTAGTGGACAGTGAGGACATTTTTCAACCCTTGAAATTTAAATTGTAATGACCACTGTGCTTAGAAAGAGAATGTCACAGAAAAGCTAAATGAAGATTGTATTACCAAATATGTAATTTTTCAGTATTTTCATTTTTTTAAGTGCCTGATGTATAATAATTATAGGGCTCAAGATATATCTCAATGGTAGAGTGCATAGTCAGCATCCATGAGACCCTGGGTTTTATCACAGGTGCCACATATAAAGTAAGAGTAGTGGGTAAGAAATGTGAGTAAAACTGATTCTTTTACCCAGTAGTTAGAGAGAATTGAGTTATGGCCCCCATTCTAACCAACTGAAGGAAAATAGCCAAGCAGACAGCGTGACTATTGCTAGTGTGACTTCCCTGACTTAATCAAAGGTTAGTCATTCCTGTGTACAAGTTTAATTTTTTTCTATCTTTTTAAGTCACTTTGCATAAAATTTAAACATAATTAATAGGTGATAGCATATGGGCAGAGCACAGCGTTTAGGGAATGAATGAATAAATCTTAGCAAGAAGACATAATTATTTGGCATGTTTAGTAAGAATAAGAAACATTGCTGGGTGTGGTGGTATATGTATACCTTTAGTCCCAGCACTTGGGAGGCAGAGGCAGGCAGATCTCAGTGAGTTCGAGGCCACCATGGTCTACAATGCTAGTTCCAGGACAGCCAGAGCTGTTAAACAGAGAAACCCTATCTCCAAGAAAACAAAACAAAACAAAAGAAAAAGAAGGAAAAGGAAAACAACAACAAAAACAAACACACACACAAAAAAAACCCATGAGTCACAAAGACTTTCCCAGGCTTTGACAGTCATATCAAGCTTCAGCAGTCTCTAAGCCATTTCAGAAGAGTCCCTGCCCACCTACCTAAGCCAGTACATAGTCCTCTTTTCCCAACTTGCCTTTCTCTGGTTCTCCTATTGTTAGTATTCAGCCATCTGTACTGGCCTGCCCTTGGGGTTCTGACAGGATATGCCCTCAGCTGTAGCCACTACTACTTTCCCTTTT